ACAAATTTATTAGTTAAATAATACTAAGCATCTCTGTTTAGAAAGTCCAACAAAACAAAATTCCATCATTTTTTTCATTTTTTTTTTTTTAGTTTATTTATAGGATTCTAAAACAAAGACAAATTTTAGAATGAAGATCAAAAGGGACAAAGCCTAGGCAAATATTTTGGGTCATCAGACAGAAAAATAATAATTTAACTTTAGGCCTACACTGTGTAATAGTTTTCCTAAAACTATTTACTTCTTTAATCATTCCCTCTAAGGATTCTCCTTTTCATCCTACTCCAGAGATTTTTAACCTAAGTGCCTAAAAGTGTTGTTGGTTTTTTTTTTATTATGTATTAATTTATTTATTTTTAGTTTTTAACATTCACTTCCATAAGAATTTGAGTTCCAAATTTTCTCCCCATCTTGTCCCTCCCCCCACCCCAAGACAGCATGCATTCTGAATACCCCTTCCCCTAATCTGCCCTCCCTTCTATCTCCCTCCTCTTCTCCTATCCCCTTCCCCTTCTGTTTTCCTGTAGGGCAGGATAGATTTCTATACCCCATTGCCTGTATATCTTATTTCCCAGTTGCATGTAGAAACAATTTTTAACGTTTGTTTTTAAAACTTTGGATTCCAAATTTTCTCCCTTCTTCCCCACCCACCCTCATTGAGAAGACAAACAACTCAATACAGGTTATACATGTGTAATCATGCAAAACACTTCCATAGTTGTAGAAAGTTAACTATATTTCCCTTCTTCCTATCCCGAGCCCCTACCTCCTCCCCCCACCCCCATTTATTCTAGTTTCTCTTTTGACCCTGTCCCTCCTCAGAAGTAATTGCTTCTGATTACCCCCTCCCCTTTATAATCCCTGCCTCCCTTATCCCCTTCCTCCCTATTTTCCTGTAGAGTAAGATAGATTTCCATACCCAATCGAGTGTGTATGGTATTCCCTCCTTAAGCCAAATCCAATGAGAATAAAATTCACTCATTCCATCTCACCTTCCCCCACTTCCCTTCCACTGTAAAAGCCTTTTCTTGTCTGTTTTATGTGAGATAATTTACCCGTTCTGCCTCTCCCTTTCTCTTTCTCCCAGTATAATCCTCTCTCACCTTTTAATTTTACACCCCTTTATCTTCAACTCACCCTGTGCCCTCTATCTACATATATATATATATATACATTTAATTTTTTTCCTTCCAATTACCCTAATACTGATAAAGGTCCCTGAAAGAGTTTTTAAAAGTATATTTCAATATAATTGGTTTCCTTTGCAATCCTCAGTATTTTAATTTATGCATTTAAACCCATAATTCTGAGAAGTTGTCCATAGGTTTCATCAGACTGCCAAAAGGGTCCAAAACACAGAAAAGGTTAACCCAGTTCTAGTCAAGGATGAGTGCTTCTATTAATTGAATTATTCAAAGACTTCTTCCTTCTCTTAGTCTGTTCATTACTCTAATCCTGTCTAAACTTAAATGTATTGATCTAGGGCCTAATTCTCAAATTCTAGGAGGAGAATTTGCCTTATTTGCCCTTTCCAAAATTGGCTAGACCTTTAAAAAGGATATTAAAAGGATTTCAGCTTAAAATGTTGAAATGTTAGCAAGGTTTTCTTTCAAGATTTTCTGAGCAAGGGCTTTAGACTAAAATATTATCCTAATATGGTTTTATGCTATGTCTCCTAAGAGGGAACAAGGGATGTGTGTTGAGGTGGGGGGAGTCAGCATATGCTTCCAAATTCCCTCCTCTTTTGTGCCTACCACAGACTAATCACAAGAATGTAATGAATGCCAAGATTTCTTTCTCCATCTGCTCTTCATGCTCTTCAGCATCAAGATGTATATTGCTCTACTTGATCCATTCTAAATAGGGAGCTGTGTGCTTTTGGCTTAAATACAGATAATGCACATTAAGATAAAGAGCTATTTAGAAGCTGTAACAGTATACCAAGTGGCATAATAGAATTGAGGTCATTGTCTTGAATATGTGATAGGTACAGAAAAGTATGCAGTGGAGAGATAAAAGAAAAAACAACACACTAGTGTTAAAACACACTTGAGTCTTCTGCCCTTCAGTGTCCTGAAGTAACCAGAAGGCTATTAAGATTAGAAGGAGGTTATCAAGGATGGAGGTGATCTAGTTTAAATGCAGTTGGAACTTAAACATTGTTCTGCAGGTTTTCTGGTCATTAGTCTGATCACCTTAACCATATCTGTCACAAAATAGATATTCTGAGTCTGTATGCCAACTTTATCACAAGTTTTTTGAATTAAATTTTTACTCTCCAACAACCAATCTCCTGCCTGCAAAGTTTGCTACAGTACAATGAATAAGTTCAAAGGCTTGCTCAGTACTTCACATATTGGGATATGTCCCATATCCTGTAAGCAATTATTTTACTGGATCCTGTCACACACATCAGATAGTAAACTTTAGCAGTAGTAAAGATAAAATGAAAAACATTTAAATAACAATGTGGTTTAAATTTCTCAGAATCACTAGATTTATAATAATTTAAATACATTATATAGTTCATTTTGATTATATTCCAAATATTCTTAGGCCTTGTGAACTATTAGTGTTTTCAACTCATGTAAATTTTTTTTTGGCCAGGCAGGTAAATAAATAAGTATTCTTGGGATGTCTGGCAGACTTGACTTTTTTCTTCACTGGTTAGATTCAGTGAGCCTATAAGAGGAGTCAGTGAGACTGAGCAGTTCTGCTCTTTAAACAACTTCTTATAAGCATTCAAAAAATCCTAACTGTTTAGTTGGCCATGAAAGTCTTTCAGAGCAGGTGGTCCATAGTCATGCTGGTTTCTGTCAAGTGTTGGATATCCTGAGGCCAAAGACTGTGGAATAAACTTTTAACTGTGGAAGAAAAAAAATCTCTTTTATATTTTAGACACAAATCTGCCAGAGACAACTTTATTAATTAAGTAATTCTAAGCAGCTCTGCTTAGAAAGAAAATCCAAAGAGACAGAAATTCATTTTACCTTTGAAAATTCTCCACCTAAGCCTTTTTTGAGTTAGATATAATCAAGGTCTGACTGGTGGGGACAAAGTCTAGGATTCATCATATAAAACAGTGGTCCCTTAGCTTTTGGCACTCCCTGGGAGAATAATTTTCCTAAACTATTCAGTCCCTTTTTATCCTCTACCTCTAAGAATTTCTTCTTTTCTTTATCCTGGTCAAAGGTGAAAATACTTCTATTTTAACTATTCAAAGATTTTTTTTTCCCTTTTCTTTGACTTGATGATGATGTTCAATTGTTTTCAGTTGTGTCTGACTCTCTGTGACCCCATTTGGGGTTTTCATGGCAGATGTACTGGAGTGGTTTGCCATTTCCCTGTCCAGCTCATTTTTATAGATGAGGAAGCTAGGGTAAACAGGATTAAGTGATTTGCAGCTAATAAGTGTCTGAGGCCAGATTTGAACTCAGGAAGGTGAGTCTTCCTGACTCCAGGCCTAGTGCTCTACCCACTGAACCACCTAGCTGCCCTTTTTTGACTTACCATTACCCTGATTCAGTCAAGGCTTTTGTGGAAAGGAACTCCGGCTTTTATATGGATTCATTAAAAGCCTCCCACTCTAGTATGATTACCACACTAATTTTATCTTCCCTAAACTTTAGTTTCCCTTTTGTAAAATTAAAAGAATTTTAGACTGGCATATTGATGACATGCTGACCAGATTTTCTATTCAGGGGGTACTTTTGACTAAAACATTTTCCTAAAATTATTTTGCAAAATATTGCCTAAAGAAGGGAAAAAGTGTATTAGGGATAAGGGGAAGAGAGTGTCAGAATGCTTCCATATCTGTTCATAAAATGTCTTCTAAATAGGACTTTAGAATGGTTGCTTAGAATCTTGAAGCTTGGGGGCAGCTAGGTGGCACAGTGGATAGAGCACTGGCCCTGAAGTCAGGAGGACCTGAGTTCAAATCTACTTACTAGCTGTGTGACCCTGGGCAAGTCTCTTAACCCTAATTGCCTTTAAAAAAAAAAAAAAGAATCTTGAAGATTAAGGAAGAGGAAGTGGACTGCTACTACTTTTTCCCTTATCTTTTCTTCTAATTTTTAATTATTAGCCCTTTTTTTCTATTCTGAACTAATCAATATATTCAAAACAAGATGCTCATTCTTTAACTTCCCTCCTTATTCTCGATTTGCAGAACTAAGCTTATATATTTGACCAGCTGAAGAGGAAGCCTGAAGTAGTGGTTAGAAAGGTAGCCTATGTGGTACAGTGAATAGAGCACCAGCCCTGGATTCAGGAGGACCTGAGTTCAAATTTGACCTCAGACCAAACACTTGACACTTACTAGCTGTGTGACCCTGGGCAAGTCACTTAACCCCATTGCCTAGCCAAAAAAAAATAAAATAAAGTTGAGGAAACTGAGGCCAGCAGAAATTAAAGGACTTGCCCAGGTCACGTAGCTAGTATCTGAGGTCAAATTTGAACTCAGCTCTTCCTGCCTCAAGGCCCAGCACTCTATCTACTATAACACCTAGCTGTCTAAGCCAAAGTTTAATTTAAACTACATTTTCACAGTTTCCCATGGAGTTCATTCCTTATGTCTTTTTGTTGGAGATTGAAAGGTCCACTGAAAGCAGGTTTTCAAACCTGCTTATCTTGGTGGATAGGAAGCTTTTCCTGTATAGAAACTGAGAGAGGTTCATGAGCACTAAAATATTTGAAAGTTATAAAAAGTTCAGGATTAACATTGTATATTAAGCCCCAAACTAGAATCAGGGCAACTGAAGATTCAGATATTTTTAAAAAATTTTTAATAGGAATAACAATTAGCTTCAGAGATAGTTTACTTTGCTTTTGTTCCCATTTGGCTCTGTGCATCTCTATTAACATTGCCTTCTGAGAAAGGTTATAAATTCACAGTAAGAGTATTTTGCCCTTTTAGAACCAGTGTTTGAACTGAGAGAGGGGACCGAAAGGTCTGTGTTCTAGGCAGGATGGAGAACTTCTTTCTGATTTACTTCATACAGACACATCTTCTGCCTCTGAGGATGAGGGCTCTCTGAGACGACAAGCGGCTCTCTCTGCTGCCTTGCAACAGAGCTTACAGAATGCTGAGTCCTGGATCAACCGTTCAATTCAGGGATCATCCACTTCTTCATCAGCATCTTCCACACTGTCCCATGGAGAGGTCAAAGGAACCACTGTGTCACTAGCTGATGTATTTGCCAGTACTCGAATAGGTAGGAGCTGCATCTCCGCAAGAAACCAATTATTTTCTCTTTGGTTAATTTTGACTATCTGTATCCAGAGATTGGTTTATGGTTTACATTAGACTCTTTGATTTTTCAAAATGACCTTAACATGTACAGTCAGAGATTAACAACTAATGGGGAAAGGGAAGAAGTACTCACAGGACAGTTATGATGGCTACCATCTGTGATATTGGTCTGTATTATTGTTCACCTGAAGCCATAGCTATTTCCATAGCAACATTCAAGCTGTGAGAGACAATGCCAGTCTTAATGTGTATGGTGGTTCACTTAAGACTGAAAATTTGTAATGGCCCATTTATTATAATATTTTTTAACATACAAAAAAGTTAAATGAGAAAACTTTTTCAGTATAGCAACAGAGCCTTTATTCCTACTCATAAGATTGGCCTTTATTGATCTTGCTGCTATGATGTTGCTACAGACACATTAGAGTACTCAGGCTAAGAATTTTGTGTTCTCTGTTAAGTTGCTAAGTACTGCTGATTGCTACCATATGAAATAAGTTTTTGTTTGGCTCTGCTTTAATGGAGTGTGTGTATGTGTGTGTATGTTTAAGAAAAAATGATATCCATATATGAAATTCATTTTGGTTCAGTATATGATCCATATTAGCATTAGGCTATGATTACTTCTCCTTCCCCTCCTCCCACTGTTGATTGTATTTTGTTTTTCTTGTCACATTGGTGCTTTTTCTGTTATTCTGCATATATTTGTGAATCTATAATTTCTGAACATAAAAATTTGTAAAACTTTTCCATTCAGCACTATAATATTTAAACAATTCTGTAGTGGTCATGGTCAACCAAGATGCAAAGTCTCCAAATATCCAGTCTTAGAACTACTGGAATCTTTCGTTTCTTGCATCTCCTGCTATACTCCCCTCCTTCTCCTGACCTGTATGAATGAGTACTAGAAGTTTCATAGTACAGCCGCAAGTCTGTGTGTTCTGCACTTTTGCTGTCTCCTACTTCCTGATTGGGGAATCTACAGCAAAAGCGTAGTGGCTGGGTCAAGTTTTTTCAGAATCATTATTTGCATATAATTTAATTACCTGCTAATGGATTTCAATTAAACCGTTGCTTAACAGTGTCAAATCTGATTTGTGTAGTTTTCTATAAAAAGTCGAACTAGTAGTTGGATATGACAATATTTAGGTCTGGTTTTTACTGACAGTATTTTATGTTATACGTTTTTTTTCTCCCTTCTCTAGAGAATTTCTCTGCCCCCCCTGATGTCACCGCAACTACCTCCTCTTCTTCATCTTCCTCCTCGATTCGCCCAGCAAATATTGACCTGCCCCCCTCGGGGATAGTTAAAGGCATGCACAAAGGGTCTAACCGTTCCAGCCTTATGGATACAGCCGATGGTATAGCTTCTTTTGGTGGACATCTTTAACCAGAAAAGAGAAAAATTGAACTAGTTTATTTCAGTTTGTATCAGTGCCTCACTTAGAATGAAAGTAATTGCAATTTTCTCTCCAAGTTGGTAGCAACAAATGTTCTTGTACTGCACTTTCTTGTAACTACATGGATATCTATTCATAATCACTTAACATTTCCCATGAGATACTTTGAACAAAAAGTGACTGTGAGGAGCAATAACAGAGGTTATTAAACCAGTTTTTGTTTGTTTTGGTTTGGTTTTTTGGTCACAGACCCCTTTTGCATTCTGATAATGCCTATGGGCCCTTTCTCAGAATAATGTTTATAAGTGCACAAAATAAAATATATAGGATTTTAAAGGAAACCAGTTAATTGCAATACATTCTACAGATTTTTAGGAAAACTTAAATAAGGTGCTGTGTAGTGGCAGGTCTAATAACTATAGTAATTTCAAAGTAATTTCTAGTTGTGATTGTAAACATTATTTAGAGATCACCAACTGTAATGTGATATGAAAATATCACAATTTCCTCTGGTGACAAAGTCATAGATACCATTAATATTATTGTGGTTTATTCCCTGTATTTATCAGTGAATTTTTAAATTTCATTTAGAGGTTAGTAAAAATAAAGATGTAAATTTTTTTCCCATCCAAGTTCACATACACCTTGATGTCTATCCAGGGAGCCCTTAGGCATATGCAGACTTTAGGTTAAGAAGCCCTAAGATAAAAGATGAAGGAAGAAATGAAATATTGGAGTGACATACTAATAATAGCGTTTATTATGATCATAAAAAATAATGTGTACATATTTATAGCTAATTGATGCTATTGAAATCAATTAAGATTCTGGGAGAAGTTCATATCATGAAAAATAGAAGTGCCTATGATGAGAAATAAATTTAAAATCATTATTTATTCAACGAATTTCACAATTTAACCATAATAATTTTCTTTCTTGTAGGTGTTCCTGTCAATAGCAGAGTCTCTACAAAAATTCAGCAACTTCTGAATACTCTGAAACGACCCAAAAGACCTCCCTTAAAGGAATATTTTGTAGATGATTCTGAAGAAATTGTAGAAGGTAGTAAAATATTTGCTGAACACAAAGTATGAACTTTCTTGTTTTTAAACAAAGGGTATCAGATCTGTTTCAAGATAATGATCTTAGTTGGGCATTAGGTAGTTGGTGGGAGCTGGGGAGGTGGGGGAGATCAGGAAAGATTTCATGTAGAAGGTGTTACTTGAACTGAATCTTGAAATAAGAGATTCTGGAAGGTAGAGATGAGAAGGGGATGCATTCCAGTCATTCCCTGGGGAATGGCCAGTGCAAGGACTCACAGACAGGAGATGTATCTTGAATTTTAAAAATCTTGAATTTTATCTTGAATTTTACAAAGGAACTAACTCTAGAACACTGAATTAACACAGTAGACAGCTAAGCAGTTTTTACATGTGGCATCAAATTTGGGGGAGGATATGAAATTTGACTTTAAATAATGCTGCAACATATTCCTTTGTTAGTCTTCCAAATACTGAGTACCTACCATGTGCCAGATACATTGTTAGGTGCTCAAGGGGACAGAGAAATACAATTTCTGACCTCAGAGAGCTTAGATTTAGATGAAAATGAGATATAGTTAATTGAAAAAGTAATTAATAAAATAAGCAATTAATAGTAACAGCCAAATATGGATAAGTGCTATTGTAGTTCAGAGGAGGAAAAGTCCCACTTTGGGGTAGGCCGTTCAGGACTTCAGAAAAAGCGGTGATCATTAATAATTTATTTATATCATCGTCAACAGATTTTTATTGAAAGCCTTCTATATTCAGATTTTTCTGTCTTACCAGGGTTTTCTGAAACTGTCCACTTCATTATTTATTAGTGCAATAGTATTCCATCACATTTGTACACCATCACTTGTTCAGCCATTCCCCAATTGATGGGCATCCTTTCAGTTCTTTTCTTTTTTTCTTTTTCTTTTTTTTTCCCCCAGGCAATTGGGGTTGAGTGACTTGCCCAGGGTCACACAGCTAGTAAGTATTAAGTGTTTCATCTGAGGCCGGATTTAAACTCAGGTCCTCCTGACTTCAGGGCCAGTGCTCTATTCACTGCGCCACCTAGCTGACCCTCTAGTTCTTATCTACCACAAAAAGAACTGCTATAAATATTTTTGTACCTATGAGTTCTTTTCCACTTGCTTTGTTCTCTGGGGCTCCACCTTGTAGTGGAATGACTTGGTCAAAGAGCATACATAGTTTAATTTTCAAATTTTCAAAAGTTTCAAATTGCTTTCCCAGATAGTTAAACTAGTTTACTGATAAGACATTAGTGTACTTGTTTTCTCGTAGCCTTTATCATCTTCCTTTCTTGTCACCTTAGCCAGTCTGATGGGTGGGAGGTGGTACCTCAGGGTTTTCTTTTACCTTGTATTTATTTCTCTAATAGTAATTTAGAGCACTTTTTTCAAATGACTTTTGATAGGTTAGGTTTCTTTCTCTGAAAATTGTGTATTCATATCCTTTGACCATTTATGAATTGATTTATGATCATAAAAAGTAAGTATGTAGTATAGGGGAATAGTCTTTCTTTTGTAAATTGGGCTCAGTTCCTTATATATCTTTAAAATGAGACCTTTATCAGAGAAACTTGTTGCAAAGATTTGTTCCCCAATTTCCTGCTTGTCTTCTAATTTTACCTTTATTGGTTTTGTTTGTGCAAAACTTTTTAATTATATGTAATCAAAATTAACCATTTTATTTCCTTTGAACCCTTGATCTCTTGTTTGTTCAACATGATATCTAACTGCTCTTTATTGTTGAAAAGGTTTTGGCCAAGGTTTTGCAGAGCAACTATTTCATCCTCCATACTTGGAATGCACTCCCTTCTCACCTCCACCTTCTAGAATATACCTGACTTTGAGACTCAGCTCAAGTCCCACTTTCTACCTAAAACATTTCCTGATCTCTCCCCCTAAACAGCCCCCGATTGCTAATGCCCTTCCTGACTGAACTTTCCTGAATTTATTATGTATTTAGTCTGTGTGTGCTTAACATGTACATGTCATCTCCCTCAGTAAAGTATTAGCTCCTTGAGAACAGGGACTGTTTATTTTATTGTTGTGTTTCTGTCTCCTAAACAACTAGTAGGCTGCCTGACACATAGTAGGAGCCTGATATGTGCTTGTTGATATATAATATATAGCTGTTTATAATAATTTCTTTATTTCATGAAAACAGTCAAACAGACAAAACCAATTGAACAAGTCTTCACAGAGGAATGAACAAATAAATTAGACCTACTTTGAAAATTAGTATCTATAGCTACAGTGCCTTGCTACCCAATGGACACCTACTAAATGTTTAAGTTGAATTGAATTGAACTCTAAAGTGAGTTTAAAACCAAGTTAGTGCAAACAGTAGGTTTACCTCTAGGAGTAGTGGGTTTAATTTCACTTGGAAGCCTTCAAGTAACAGCTAGATAACCACTTATTCATAAATCTTGCCGTTACAAATGCCAGTTCAAGTACTAGTTAAGTTAGCTATTCTCTGAGGTCCCTTCCAATTCAAAGATTTCCTAAGAAAGGAAAAATTCAGCAGCAAATAGGGGCCTAAAATTTATGAGTATTGTGGTTATTTCATGTTGCTTTTTAATTATTTTTTCCTTCTCTGTATGCAGTACCTCAGCCGGACCCAAACCAGCCCAAACCAGAAGGACGTCAGATGACTCCTGTGAAGGGAGAGCCATTAGGAGTCATCTGTAACTGGCCCCCTGCTTTAGAATCAGCACTGCAACGGTGGGGGACCACTCAAGCCAAATGCCCTTGTCTGACTGCACTTGATGTTACAGGGAAGCCAGTTTATACTCTAACATATGGTGAGCTTAAGAGATTTCAGTTCCTGTTTGTCCTCCTACTTCTGGGATATAATAAGATATATGAGGTTGTAGCAAAAAAGACAGTACTTCCAGAATTATGTATGGTAGGAGGTTTGCAGATAAAAGTAACTGTTTTTAGCATGATATTCAATAATTACTAACCTTAGTGTTTTAGCAGCCCTTTTAAATTAGGTTGGCTCTTCAGTACTAAGTATATTGTCAAGTATTTACATTTTCCATAGTAATGGTTGAAGGCCTGCCAATATTTTAAAACTATGAAAAGAGGTTTAGTAGCAGGGGAGGAAAGAGACTTCCTAACAGTTCATGTCCTGAGCACAAGGAAGAATATTTAAAGATAGAAATGCAACACTAATAATATTCTAGTAAAATATATAGTTAATTTATAGGAGTAATGTCTTTTGTTCATTCATTTTTACTATAAGTAGTAAAACCCCAAACTAACATTATTTGCAGTAGAAAAAAACTAGAAACTTTCCCAATAAATTCAAGAACAAAACAAGAATATTTTGTTTCCCCACTGTTATTTGATATAGTTTTAAAAGTCTAGTGATGTCAGTAAGACTAAATTAAGGACTTAATGGTGTAAACATTGGTAAAGAAGAAACAAAAGTATTTCTATTTGATGATGACATAATAGTTTACTTAGAAAACTCCAGACAGAAAATCATCAAAGAAATTAATTAAAGCAGTTGATAGCTTTCGTAAAGTCAAAGAATATAATGTCAATGCACAAAAATCAACAGCATTTCTTTAGAGTAATAACAAAAGCCAGAAGGATATAATCAAAAGGGATATCCCATTCAAAATAACTATAAAATACATAAAAATATCTGGAAGCCAGTCTACCAAAACTCTTGAAATTTATAAAAATGCAGTTACAAAGCCCTCTAAAGAATAAAATATTTTTTTGCAACAATGTTTTCTAGCTGTCCTTAACACCACTTTTGCAACAATCCCTCCATTATAACAAAGAAAGAAGAAAGTGATGTAAAATCTACCAGCGTATGGACTGTCCTTTCATTTTTGTCACAGGGGGTGGCTTTTAAATATGGGATTTGGGAAGGATATATTTGAAAGTGAATGTGATATAAAAATAAATTATTTCAATAAAATTAATATTTTCTAAAACTTCAGGCATTCTTTTTCAGTGCACTGTTAGTGGACATAGCAAAGAAGCTTTGAGATCATCCTTTACCTCAAGTAGGGCAGTCTTATTAGACAGGTGAAATATGCACATGGGAAATAATAGAGACCAGTAATACCAATAATCATGAAAATGCATTTCACAGTATCATTTTCTTGCCAGAAACTTTGGTGGCAGTGGAATGTAAGTTCCATGAGAGAAGGGACCTTTTTTTTTTGTCCTTGGATAGCACCTAGAATAACGCCTGGCAAATAGTAGTCAGACCAAATACATTTTTATTTAACTAAATTGAACTATATTGGAGTTTGTTTTATTGTCCCATCCCCAGCCTATTCAATGCCTTCATAGTAGCACTGCCATTGCTTTTTTTCAATGTGAAAACCACATTGCTTAGGCACCAAATGAATTTGACCTATGTAGTCCATTGTAAAATTGTCTTTTTCTTTCCAGGAAAATTATGGAGCAGAAGCCTCAAGTTGGCCTACACACTGCTTAATAAACTGGGGACAAAAAATGAACCAGTATTAAAACCTGGAGATAGGGTAATTTTTTAAAAATGTCTACTTTCTTGTTTCTTTCTTTAAAATGAAAGGAATGGTGGTGGGGTCATTGGAGTAACAATTATATTTTTATTTGAACAGTATCAATAAAGCACTTATTTTTCAGAAAGAGACAAATAGTCATGTTGAGCTTTCTGCCACTACTTTTTAGAATCATGAAAATTGTTTGCAGCCATTCTCCTAGGCATAATACTTTATTGTAATTTTAGTGTTCTTGGATTGAAGGGAAATGATAACATTTTACTTAAACCAGTTTTTTGCTTCATGTGTCCATCTCTTTACTGGCTAATCAATTAAGTTTTAGGCTACCAGTACAACAAAGAAAAGAGGGCTTAGGTCTTTCATAACCTAACCACCTTCAAACAGAACTTTGAAATTTATTTAGAGTAGCAGAAATAGTGATTAGACTATCATTTTATTTCATTTTATTTTATTTTTATTACAACCCCAAAACCTCTGTCAATTTTCTCTTGGCTTTTTTTTCTGCTTTATATATTTCTTCCTAAGAGGAACCAAATTAAAAATCTTTTATACGCCTTTGAATTGCAAATGTCTATTTTTACCTTAGATATTTATTGAATTTGAAGTGGTTTATTTTTAAAATGTGTTAATTTTTTGGTAGCTAAATATCAGTTTCTCTTAATGTTAAATATTTGTGCATTTTAAGATTATACAACTTCATGTCAAGCCTCCATTGAGAACATGAATATAAGATTGACTTTTTCAAGAAGATCAAAAAGTCCACTGGATTAAATTTTTAAAAATTATTTTTTTAATGTGGCAAGAGGCATTTGAGAAAAAAGTATGCCTAGAAACATCCAAGTCTGTAACTTTACTTTAGTGGAATACAGGGTGATTTCTGAATTCCCAAAATGTGTTTTTTCCCCCAATAGAATGGACTTTCTTCTGTAGGAGGGAGCAGTTTGTTCCTACTGTGCATTTTATAGCAGCTGATATTAATGCTTAACACTAAGAATAGTTTCAAAATTTATCCTATCTTGGGAACTGGATCAGAAAATAACTGTTTCACTACTGTCCACCATAATTGCCATTTATGTAATCATAGGAAGGCCAGTATGTTTTAAGTATTTTGCTGTCTTATTTTTATTAGCTTAATTTACTCCAGAGTTAACAGTTTACTCTTTACATTTGAATTTTTGCATCATAAGCTATAGAGTGTGACATTGAGAACTTTGTTTCCCTTCTAATTGAATGTCATCATGAATTTTAGGTGGCCCTGGTCTACCCCAACAATGACCCTGTCATGTTCATGGTGGCATTTTATGGATGTCTTCTAGCAGAGGTGATCCCTGTACCTATAGAAGTGCCACTTACTAGAAAGGTAACATTGACAAAGCCGCAAGGCATGGTGGTGGGATAGGAGATATCAGAACATCAACATTTATTTTGGGTAATGTATTTCAGTTGCTCTGACAGTAAAGTGCTTACTTTCTGACAGTTTTCCTGAGAATTCAGACAAGTTTTAGAAACATACATTTTCAATATGTTCTCAGATTCATGGATGTAGAAGCATAAGAGAACTTAGAGGGGATCACCCCATCTCCTCTTTTTGCTGCTGGATGTGCTGAGACTCATAGAATTTAAGAGATTTATCCGAGTCATGCACAGAGTGAGTTGTAGTGGAAAGTTTTGAACCCAGGCCTTCTAATTACAAATCCAGCTAAATGAAGGAAGTGCTATTCCTTTCTTGCACCTCTGTGTCATGAAAGTATCATGAAATATAGTTACTGTTTGATTTATATCTTGCTATCCTGAGCAACTAGCATAGTTCCCAGCATATAACAAACACTTATTGATTGGTTAATTCACTGGAACATTGGGGGAAACTAGTCCTTTAGTGGCCAGTTCTAGCATTTATCTCAAGTCAAATTGGGTAATTTTTGATCCGTGAATAAATGGGAAAATTGGGGGGATTAGAATTAATTTTCAGCAATGTGGAACAGCTTGGTATAAACGTTTAATTTGTTACCCAGAAGATAATATTTTCCAACTCTGTGTAAAAAGGTTGTTACTATTTAAATTCCAGGCCATTGACGGATTCTGGCACGTCTCCATATCATTAGCTCACACAAGTGACACAGAATTACCACAGGTTAGATTTTTGATAAGTGTAAGGTCAGTTTTTACTTCTCTGATAGTAATGCTGTCTTATTCCCCTCTGCAGGATGCTGGAGGACAGCAGATTGGCTTCTTGCTGGGAAGTTGTGGTGTTACCTTGGCTCTCACCAGTGAGGTTTGTCTGAAGGGGCTTCCAAAAACTCAGAATGGAGAAATTGTACAGTTTAAAGGTTAGTGGAAAACTCACTTGGGTTCAGAAAGTCAGTTTCACAATTATAAGATAGAGGAGGCAGAGGTAGCTATGTATGTCTGAAAAAATTTGGAGCTTTTAGTCAAGAAGTGATTACGGCAGCCAGAAAACTAATATTAGCATTTTAGGCTGCATTGAGAAAAATAATATTTCAGACTAGAAGAGTACCATGTCTAGAGAATTTAGGAAGTACCGCATCTTAGGAAGCTTCAGTCTCAGGGAAGGACATTGAAAACGTAGAGGGAGATTAGCCAGAGTAAGATAGTCAGAATGGTGACCAACTTCATGGTATTGCCATATAAGGATTGATTAAAGTAAGGGAAGATATTAAGCCTAGAGAAGGAAAGGCTTAGGGAAGAAATGGTAACCATCTTAGTTTTTGATAGGCTGCTGTCATGTGAAATGGAGATTGAAGTTTTCTTACTTGTCACAGTAGGCAAAACCATGAGCAATTGGCACAAGTTTCAGAGGCACCATTTGGCCTGACATCTCTCAGGTCTGACACTTTTTCTCCACTCACACAACTCCCACCTTAGCTCAGGCCTTTACCTCCTTCCTAGATTACTGCATTAGTGTCCTCTTTGGTATCCCTGCCACGTATGTCTTACCATTTTAGTCCATCTTACACAAAATAATTTTCCTTAACTACAGATCTGAACATGTACCTTCCCCATTGAACCAATGCCAGTGACTTCCTGTTGCCTATAGGACAAACTTTTATCTTTAACCCCACCTCATAGAGTCCCTCTCTTCTTGTGTGACACAGCTCAAGCACCATCTTCTACATGAAGCCTCTCCTGAGCCCTGCAACTGCCTTCCTCTCTCTCTCAAGCTACCTTATATTTAGCTACTTTGTATGTATTTCTGTTTGTTCACTTTGTATTATGCTACACGTATGTACATATGACCATTAGAATGTGAGTTCCTAGGGGCAGCTAGGTAGTTCAGTGGATAGAACACCAGCCAAATCCAGCCTCAGACACATAATACTCATTAGCTGTGTGACCCCGGGCAAGTCACTTAACCCCAGTTGCCTCACCAAAAAAAAACAAAACAAAACAAGAAAAAATGTGAGCTCCTTATGAATAGGTAATATTTCATTCTTTGTACTTGTGTCACCAGCGAAGTACCTGACACTGTTAGGTGCTTAATAAAGACTTGTTGATTGATTGATTGATCCAAGCTGTCCAGAAGTTGAATGGACTGCCATGGGAGGTAGTGAATTCCCCTTTCCTGGAGGTCTCCCAGCAAAGGCTGGAAGACCAATTATGTAGTACACTGTATGAGGAATTTGTAGTCGTAATGTTATGTATGGGTTGAACTATGTGGCCTCTCAGAGCCCTCCCAGCTCTTCTGTTCTGTGATAACAGGTGTTAGCTATAAGTTAAGACAGCATTAAAAGGTAACAAAATTCAGATCAAACACAAATTCTAAGGTTAAAACATTATTCTTCTTTCCTTTAAAACAGTAAACTACAAAAAATAGGGCATTCCGTGTACTGGTTGGGCAGGTGCAGGGTGAGAGCAGTGTGTTTATTGGAAAGTAATTATTGTGTCAATACAGAATGCATCATAAAAATTATTTTAGACAAAAGTAAATAGTTTTTTAGTTATCTGAAATAGCTAAGGTTTTTATTTTATGGTTTTCTAATATGTTCAGGTTTGTATAAGTGATCACCATATACTTGAGTTAAATATCTTACATAATGACAGAATACTAATCACTGGGTGTCAAATGCCAAATGAGAGTAGCAGAAGAAAATTGCTTGAGATTGTTGAGGTGGCAGTTTCCATGAAAGGATTAAGGTTCTACCCAATTTTGTTGTAGTCCTTAGTATTTTCCTTGTTTCACCCTTCTTACTAATGTATTACTGGATAGTAAAAATTCCCAATCCAAGAATAATTTTCATTTGTTATGTTCCAGTAATTCGTTTCAAACAAAATAACAAAAAAGTCTTAGAAATACCTAAGGAGGTGCTCTCTGATAATTTCTTCTTGACCCTAATTTTCTGTTCCTTACTAGGAAAAGACAGCTTATTCTTGAGTCTGATGTAGAGTAAGAGGAGCTCAAGCTGACCTAGTCCCTCTCAAACTTTTCCTAGATTATTTTTTGGGCTTTAGAGGCCTTCTACTCTGGGCTGCAGTTTATTTCCAGAATAAATACAGAGTTCTACAACGTTAGTAGAAAATAATTGAGATAAGATACTGTTACAAATTTTGAAAGAACAGTTTGCTTCTGGAAACCATATGGATCTATGCTGAGGCAGCTTGTTTTAATTATTTGTATTGGTGTTTTATTCATGCCACCAAATAAGTTGTAATCTCCGTAAGAGCAAAAACCACATCTTGTCTCTAGTGGTATGCAAATTAACTGGGATAGAATAGAATGATTGAATTGATTGACTTCTACAGTAAACCTTTGTAAATTTTTACATTTCTAAAAAATTTGCCTGCCACATGCAGCAATCACTTATTTTACATAATTTAGTATTGAATTCAGAAGATTTTGACATGTTCTTTAGTTGTGAAACCACATTTTCATCAATTTGGATATTGAGTATACCTTTAACAAGCAACACATTTTTCCAGAATTATCTCTGACTATAGTGCATAGGTTGTCAATGAAGTTTAAGTCAGACAAGTTCTCAGACCATTTAAGCACTTTTATCTTCATCTCCTGGATAAATGACACTTGCCATGTTGCAAGCTTATATTGCATCATATGCAGTATTCCATCTCCATTTGAAAGTTCTGTTTTTCAGGATATTAATATGTTTATTATTCATCAGTGGGAACAAAGAGGGCCCACTGGAAGTTAAACCCTCACCCCTAACATTTTGGGAGTATATGTTTTATAGTCTTAAGAACATTTCCAGATCTTATAGATTCAGCTGGACTTCTTCTTTGGAATAGTCTTGAATAAAAAAATAATGTTTCATCAATAGAAATTACCTTTTTCCCATCTTCAGAACTTTCATCTTTGTGTATTGTCTTGCTTTGACAAATATGTTTTATTCATAGCAACAGTTAGCAGCCATTTTTAAAAATTATTCTTTTAACTGTGAATAGTTTGGTGAATCCAGCTTCAAAAAACCTCTTGTCAGTAGAAGAAACCAACTGTCAGTAGAAGAAACCAATTGTCAGAAGCACATGTATGTGACCATTGCTGTCACATAATGAAACCATATCAAAATTATTGCTTATTTAAGATAATTCACATGCAAACTCTGTAAGCCACCCATTGTTGAGCAGTCTTTTGTAATCAGTAAATGCTGAAGTGCTTAATTCAAAAAGAAACACTTACTAGAAAATATTTGCTAAAAGAAGGAAGAAGGTGTACACCCTGAACTGAGGAGTCAGGGGACCTCGCTCCGCTCTAGTTCATTGGACAGGTTATTGAATCTTTCAAGGACTTGAAAATGTTGAAAGAATTCCATGATAAAAGGGTATGGCAGTGCACTCTTATGAACCACTTTGTGTAAAGATAGGCAGGTGGGGAGGAAATTTGCTTTTTTTAATGGAAGGAGTAATCTTCTCATGTCAATAAAAACTGGCAAAATCAGCCCTTTACTAAATTATATTAGGTTTTACAGGTAAGAATCTGGATTTAATTAAAAATAAAATAAAATTTTAAAAAATCTGGATTTGCAAAGAAATCCAGTTGATCATAACATAACAACTAAACATTGCCATAACAGCTAAAACCACTAATTACTTTCTTTGGACTTGATTTAGGTTGGCCTCGACTCAAGTGGGTGGTAACGGATTCAAAGTACCTTTCCAAATCGCCTAAAGACTGGCAGCCACACATCTCACCTGCTGGCATAGAACCCGCCTACATAGAGGTAAATTCTGAAATAGGTTCAGAAATGTTAATAAACTTTCTATGTGACTATAAATAAATACCCCCAAAATAATTCATTTTGTAGGAGTTTTAATAGGAGCAGCTTCCTACTTCTATGTTAAATTTCCATGTAACTGAAATGAAAATGCTTTCTAATGGTACAACTGTTGAAGCGCTTCTTCCCACCTCCCTCTTCACTGATAGACACCACTAATTTCAGGGGCTAAAGAATGTGGGATTCACATGCAGGAAACTGAGAGGTAGCAAAAAATTACCTCAGGCATCCAGCCCACAGTGAGCTTCAGAAAAGTAAATAAGTTTAAAAGAGGATATATGAAGGAAGGAATAGTTAGCAACATGGTTCTACTGTTTCTGCTTGTCCAGAAAGCTATGAAGAAGTGAATGAAAGGGGGGAAAGCCATGTAGTATAAAGGAAAGAACAGTTTTTGGACTCAGAAGACCTGAGTTCAAATCCTGCCCTGATTACTTACTGCTCACTGTGTCTGTGACTGTGGGTAAGTCACTTAATCTCTTCAGGCCTTGGTTTTCTCATCTGTAACATTGGGAGTCAGGGGAAGGGTGATTAGACATTAAACATTTATTAAGTGCCTACTGTGTGCCAGGCACTGTGCTAAGTGCTGAAGATACAAAGAAAGGCAAAAGATAGTCTTTGCCCTCAAGGAATTCCCAGTCTAAAGGAGGAGACATATACAAACCAGGTGTAGACGGGACACATTGGAAAGAAATGGCTATGTCACCTTACTTTTCTGATCCTTAGGCTCTTCATCTGTAAACTAAGAGCAGTGGACTAGATCTTATCTAAGATTCTAACTGGTAATGACACCACAACATGTATTCCACAGATGTCTTGTTTTCCAAAAACCGTATTTCATTTCTTTGTGTATATTCACATTGAACTGAAAAAGTATAGGTTCCATTGTGGGGGATCTTTCAGATACTTTTGTAGCACTTGGCCTTTGTCTGACTCAGTAACTTAAGGAAGGAAGAAAATTATTTTATTTATCAAAAACACACTCTTATGGCTTTACAAACTTCTGGGTTAGAAATCACTCTTTAATTATGCCCCCCCCTTTTTTTCCCCAGTACAAGACAAGCAAGGAAGGGAGTGTCATGGGAGTCACAGTGTCCCGGCTTGCCATGCTGTCTCACTGCCAAGCCCTGTCCCAGGCCTGCAACTATTCTGAAGGTCAGCTCACATTCCACAGCTGCCCTCATTGTGTTACTTTCAGATGTACTAACATTATCTCAGAGACGAATCGATAACCTCCTTTTGAATGTTCACCTTTAGAGTAAAATATTCATAGTTTGAGCAGCTTCCCTGTTGTACCCATTCTTGCCTTGATTCACATGGTGGGTTTGTTTTTCTGGATATACTATAATTTAAAGGAGAAGCCTAATTCTGGATAAGCCAAATAAAAATGATTTTGAGAGATTTAGTGAAGCAAAAAGAAAAGCTTTAGTTTAATTCTCCTTCTGGCTGCATTACAACATGGACTTCATCTAATCCTCGGTCAGAAGTCGCTACACTTGTAAGTTTGGTAGGAGAGTCACAGAACTTTAACCCAAACAAAATATGAGAAAGATTTAGCAATATGGAGATACAGGTTTTATGGTTGAGGTACCATGTGGTGATTAGGCCCCCTAAAATATCTTCTCTTAGAAGACAGATACCAGATTGTATAAAGTACTTAATATGTTGCAGTTACTGAATGTTTAACAAGTATGGGCACATCACCCAGTGATCATAGACCAACTTGAGGCTCCCTGACAATTTGTATGTAATAATTAGAACCCAAAGCCTGAAACTGTGAGATAAATGGAATCATAGCACTTTCAGTTAAGGAATTGTTTGAGTTGGGGAAGTGATATTATATTGCCACTTTGGCTACTAAGTGATTTTTCACTTTGAAGATATCGCCTACTACCAAATTTTTTCTTCCATTTTTCTGTTTATAGGGGAAACCATAGTCAATGTGTTAGACATCAAAAAGGATGCAGGGCTATGGCATGGCATATTTGCGGTAAGTTACTCTGACTAATAAACCTACTGTGTAAACTGAGTAACGGGATTTATAAAACAACTGCATTAGATTTGTTGGTGTGGATTAATATCCCAACAGTGGTTGTTTTATTTGAAATAGCACTTTTAGCTAACCATCCTATTTTCCAATGGCATTTTATTCAGATGTATGATGTAAGTGTTAATAAAAATGAAGAGGAATATACTGCTGCTTTTACTTGCTTATGTGGTTGTCTATACCCTTTACATGAGAGCACATATGAGACAGAAATAAGAAGCCCATCTGGTGTGATGGCTCTTATCCCAAAAGACACCATGAATGCCATATGTAGACTATTGGCTTTTAAAAAAAAGACCTCTCAGCGACTTACCTCATCTCTTTTTCTGCTGTTGGTGGTTATACATAGTTAACATTTAGAATTTGTTTTTTTGTCGTTTTCTGGTATACTGTATCTCATGTTCAGTGTTTAATTGATGTTACTTGTTTTGTATCTTTTGTTGCTTTTCAGAATGTTATGAATAAGATGCATACAGTTAGTGTTCCCTACTCAGTGATGAAGACTTGTCCCCTGTCTTGGGTCCAGCGAGTACATACTCACAAAGGTAGTCACAGACACCTTCCAAAGTTTAATCTTCAACCTTTAAGCTTCTAAACCATAGTCAAAATTGCCAATGGCCGATTTTGGTGGGTGGGGAGGGAAGATATGGCTTATTGTCTTAGTGATATGTAGTTCTCAGAGAATGGCAGTTTGGCTGAAAGATAAGGATTTAGTTGCTGTAGACTAGGGTAGATTATTTACTTCCTCAACTTCCTTGTTCATAGATTGAGATGAATGTGCCTTAATTTAAGTGCTTACAAGGAAGTATTGGGATGAAAAAAGTTGTATTGGTAGTTAAATTGGTAGGTAAACTGTGATTAGCATACAGGCTATAGTTGCAGTCATCTATTTGTGACCAAGCCACTCCCCTGAATGTGGTATCCTACAGACTTGTGAGCACTGGACACAATTTGCTTGAATAGTGTTTTACAAAAAAACTTTGAATCTTCATTAACTGTAAACTACAATCCCTAAAATAGAGGTTGATTTCAACAGAGTAAAAAAAATCACTGAATTTAATTTTTTTTCTGTGCTAACTTTTTTCCGTTTTGGATTTACAGCTAAAGTGGCTTTAGTAAAATGTCGAGATTTACACTGGGCAATGATGGCACATCGGGACCAAAGAGATGTGAGTTTGAGTTCTCTCCGCATGCTAATCGTAACTGACGGAGCTAATCCTTGTGAGTATTTCTGTGGTGTACTTCTTGGAACCTACTTTCTTCTAACTTGTTTTATTTTCCTGTTATAAAGTACAGCTACTTACTTCTATGTGATATTTTCTTTCTTGGGATAAAAACCAACTAGTGCTCTGCCAGTCAAGATTATCTTTTTGTTACAATATGATATGTAAATTTCTATGTATGGCACATGGATATTCTTGATTCAAAAAAATCAAGATCATTTTGTTTTGGGATAATTAGATCTATACCAAGATTTTCTTAATCCCTCTCTTTTAGAGTCAGGTAATATCAGACCTTAGTTCTTAGGCCAATTTGGTATAAACAAACCCATTATCAATAGGCAGGTTTAGTAGTCAATTATATGATTAATGTTTAAGAATAAAAAACTAAGAGGACATAAGTAGAATATGGTACTAAACTAGTACATACAAAATATATGTGTTTCACTTACTATGATTTTTTTTTAATTTTATGTTCTGTTCCCAGTTTCCCCCCTCCCCCACCCAGTGAGAAGGCAAGAAAATCAAAACCCATTATAAATATGTATAATCATTTAAAACAAATTTCTGTATTAGCCATGTCAAAAAGAAAAGAGCTTATGGTTTGATCTGTATTCTGAGTCAATCACTTCTGTATCTGGAGAGAGATACCATGTTTCATCATGAGTCCTTTGGAATTGTCATTGGTCATTGTGTTGATCAGAGTTCCTAAGTCTTTCAGAATTGATTGATGTCTCTCGGAGATATTGTACCCTAATACATGGCCATGGCCATGGCCAATTCTAATTTTCAAGAACTTATTTTCTTCAGTGAGAAGAAAATTCAAACAATTATTTTCTTCAGCTCTTACCAAGCTGATAATTCTCTTTCTTCCAAAGCTCTCTGTGGTGCTTCTGCTCTTTATGGTCAGGTTCCTTTTTTTAATTTGTTCATTCTTCCAGCCTCCTTCTTGACTTTGTACTTTATATTGGTACTAGGCTCTGCCCACTTCTGCAGGGGAAGGCTGACCCAAGCCCCTATCCTTTTCTATCTTTTTCCTGCTTTCACAGTTCAGCCTGGGAACCTCTAAGTTTTCCCAAAGAGGTGTGATCCAAGGAAAGGTCTGTTCACTGCCCTCCTGGTCACAGTTCTGCAAATTCCTGACTCAGGTTTGGGTCTGTTGGCTTCTGGGTGGTTGAGTTTCAGTAGACTGCTGCTGAACTCAGATACCATTAGGCTGATGGGAAATTCTACAGATTTAGAGCAATTGAACTGCTGGCTTTCTTTTGGTCCTATTTATTCCACTGTAGGCTTATGTGCCAGGCAACAGGCTGCAGCTGATTTGCTGTTTTGTTCTGGAGCTCAGAACTATGCAACTATGTTTCCAGAACTTGTTCCTTCCTCATACAACTGGGGCCCATGCTCACTTGTGACTACTCCTCTCCACCTAGCCTTTGGAACCCAAAACTTGGTAATGTGCAGTAGAGCTGCCAGATGACACTCATTCCTACACTCAGGGCTGATTCAGGATTCCCTGGGATTCTTTCTACCTGATGCTTCCTGCTCTGATCTTCTTTCCATCCCCGGGCACTGGAATGTTCTCTACCGCTGCCACCACTCGTGCTCCTGGCCACCTCCCTTCTCCCGTGTCCAAAGATCTATTGATCTCTCTCTTTCTCTCTCTCCCTCCCTCCTTCCCCAAAATTTGTGACCTTTCATGATCAGATTTCAGTCTAGTACATTTTCTACATCATTGTGAAGATAGATCTTCTGGGCAAGCTAGGCAAAAATGCTTCCTCTCACTCCACCATCTCCCCTCCTACAAATTGAGTTATTTTAGGACAGATTGTTAAACTTCTGGAGTTTCTCCTCTCAGTGTACCCTGCTGCTAGACTTGGCCTTACCACTCCCATCCCTAACATCCCTACTCAGTGGTCTTTTCTAGCTCCTTTTGTTGGTATAGAGAACACCCCAGCATTTTTATCAAATTTCCTGCAGAGTTGCTGATGTCAGCCCGGCTACCTAGAGGCTCAAAGTCTTTGGTATTGTGGAAAGTGAGATGCCTGGCTTGATGACACTTTTTCAGCCTGTAAGCTACTGAGGGTAGCCTGAATCATTGATTGTCTCCATGTGATTATGGAGATAACTGTCCTCATTGAGATGGTGATGGCCCTGGGTGCTGATGGCCCAGTTACAACATTTGCTTCACTAGGGAACATGCTGCAACTACCGTTTCCAAAACTGTCATTCCTGTGTGTGCTCAGAAGGGGAAGAAAGATAAAGAATACCTCTAAAAAAAAATTAAACTAAAAAATTAAATTAAAAAAAAATTTTAAAATAAAGAATTAAAAAAAAAAAGAATACCTCTGGTACATTGAATAGATCCTCTGCTTCAAGAACAGGCAGCCCCTCAGACATGATCCAGGGTGATGGTGGAGACCTCACAACTCTCATTCACACCATATACCCTCAGCTTCTGAAAGTGTCTCAGAGATTACCCCAGGTGTCCACAATCTATACAAGATGAAGGCCAACAGAGTTCTAAAAGTGCCAGCCATCAATGGGAATAGTTCTGTCTCCAAGAGCAAGTTTGTCAACCTGTATGGCTGGCTGCCATGAGTTCTTACTTGATGGCATCAGAGACACCGCAGATATGATGATCTTGGGTAATGTGACTGTAGTGGCAGGACACAGTGATGTGAGCAAGAACTGCTGTGCTCATTCAGACCATTTGGGGCTTTGGGGCATGCAGGAATCCTCATCACAGAGACAGGCATCAACCAGAAACATTTGTAGGCTTCTGTGGAGAACTGTTAGATGTATGAAGCCTACAAAGAGAAAAGCATCTTTGCCACTCTTTAGACATCATCTTGAGCAGGTATTTGAGGAAATGAAAGACAGTGCCATTGTATATACTGTTGGATCCTTAGATGTGGAAATAGATTCATAGTGACTGAACAGAAATGCAGTGGAGAAGATAAAATGAAACACAAATGGTTTGCTGTAAGCTAAAGAACGAACAGTTTCAGGGTCATTCTGACTTTATCTTAAACAACTCCTTCAATAACCAGGCACTGGCCCAATTTGAGCTATGGACTCATAGAGGAAGTATTCTGTACAGGTGCACTTCTGCTCAAGAAACTGGATGAGGCTGTGACTTGAGGGCTGCCTTCATTAGCTGAATAGGAAGCTGACAAAGCTGAGAGTACCTGGGCCTGCCTCAGGAGGGCCCCTTCAAACCTAATTACTACTGGTACTGAGGTCCTGGTAGTCCAAAGATGCCCAATGGCTAATAACATCTTCCTGCCTGCCCAGCTTCTCTTGCACAGGGTAATAAATGGTGTATAGCTTAAAAAATAAATAAACTCTACTGGCATAACCAGACTTTGTCTGTAGTATTTACATGTCGATAGTAAAAATGAGATTTTTGACATTTTGAAATAAATTTGTGTAAATTGGTAGGAATATCCACTTTCTCCTATGTGTACCTTTCAGTGCTGTCCAGCTCTTCCTGAGATGTGAGTTCATGGATTTGTCCTTGAAATTTATAATTGTACCTTATAGAGCCAATAAAATAGTTTTAAGTAAATTTATGTACATTTAATATTCTGTATTTGTTTCTCATTAGAACCTTTTTAAAAACTGCAATAATGAAATTCGCCATTATCAGGTTTAAAGCTGGTCTGTTCTATTTGCTTAGGGTCTGTTTCGTCCTGTGATGCTTTCCTGAGTCTGTTTCAGAGCCATGGTCTAAAACCTGAAGCCATCTGTCCTTGTGCCACATCTCCTGAAGCTATGACTGTAGCAATTCGCAGGTACTGTTCAGTTCATCAAATACAGAACAAAAAGTTGTATGTTACAGCTGAGAAGGAATGTTTGGTACTCACCTGGTATTGCCCATGGACACTTACTTAATGCTGTTTATTCAGAGAAATAAAGTGCTTTACTAACCTAATAGAATGAAGGTGACTGATGACAGTATTTTGATTTAAATCATTACCTGAGAAAAGAAGTTTCATTTATTTTCTTACTGTTACCATTACTATTAAGCTAAATGTGCATGCCTGATCTAGTCTACTAAAATAAGGCTTTTTTTCCATATTGTTTTTATCTGTGGTTTTTTTTTTTGTTTTGTTTTTTAGTTAGGTAGCATTGTGGACTTGAAATAAACTGTTCTTGATTATAGCAAATGTCAGGAAACTGCATCACAGCAGTCCCTTTCTGGTTTTGCTACTGCTATCCTAGTATAGGCCCTTTTTACTATCCTCTTGAACTTTTTCCATAGCTTCCTAACACGTTTTTTGTGCCTAGTCTCTTCCCCCTCCAAGCCATCCTTACTTCTACCAGGTTTATTTTCCAGATACCTCTATTTGGTCATGTCACTCCTCTGCTCAGAAAATCTCCAATGTCTCCATATTCCTCACCACTAATGTTCAGATGCCTCTGCTTAGCATTCAAGACCCTTTACTATCTGATGCTGTCCCATCTTTCAGACCTCACTTTACTCCCATGTTCCTGCCAAAGCAGGAACATTGCCTCCATATTTCCATTTCCATCCATTTACTCACACTATTCCCTATGACTGGAGTATGCTTTCTTCCCACCCCACTTTATCTATTGATATCCTTTAAAGCTTATCCTTTAAAGCTCAACTACGAAGATACCTCCACCATGAAATCTTCTCTCATTTTCCCACTTCAACCAATCAATGATAAGCCCCCCCACCTCACTTTGCATTTTGTTGTACATCTCAGTGATGTACCTGTTATAGTTATCTGTGTGTGTATATATAAACTTTGTTTCTCCCACATTCGAGGGCTTAGTATATTGCTTTGCATATAGTAGGCATCTAATAAATGATTGTTGAATTGAAATTGAGAATGTTTTCCTACACTGATGAAAACTCACCCTTCTGGCCATTCCTTATATTCTCTGTGATTCTATAAGAATGTATTGGGTTTCTGATATACTTCAGTCAGAAAGAATTCAAGTTTTTATTTCATGGAGTTAGTGTTTTACTACCATAGTTAAAAGTATTAGACTCCAATTTAATTTGTTTTTTTTCTTCTCAGACCTGGAGTTCCAGGGGCCCCTTTGCCAGGACGAGCTATTCTCTCAATGAATGGCTTAAGTTATGGGGTAATCCGTGTCAATACTGAAGATAAAAATTCAGCTCTTACAGTACAGGATGTGGGGCATGTAATGCCTGGAGGTGAGTCACAAGAAGTGCCATCTAGTTTTTTTAAGGGTGTGTCCCTGGAGCTTGTGGGGCCTGATAAAGTAGGAGTCCAGGAGCCCAGAATCCTGGATCCACTTAGGACCTTTGCATGTCAAGTGGCATATAGCCCCAGGCAAGTTTCTTACATTCTCAGTGCCTCCCTGCTTTTAAAGTGGGGGTAATTAGTCATTACCAGGAAATCTTAATTAGGTCATGAATAGAAAGTCTTCCAATGTAAGGAAGGCCTCTGTAAGTGCTTGTTGCTAGTAAATGTGGTTTTCGTTGTATTGGCCAGAAATGCTTATCCAGTGCAGGTGAGGTGGTGCAATAATTACAGTCATTCTTCCAAAGACCTCTTCTGCAATTACTGCTACCAAGAGCAGCATCCCCATGCACATTTCCCAAAGGAAATAAAGCATCTATTCAAGACAGGAAGTGAAACACAGAAAATTACTGATTCTTAGAGGTGCAGAGAGTTGGAGGCATTGTTTTCATGACTGTAGACATAGCTGGAAGGAATTTTACTAAAGATGAGTAAGACCCAGTGAAACCCCCAGTTTCATTTGCCTTCAGAGTTGTTTTTCATCAGCAGTGACACATAATAGTCTTAAGATCTTTAGTGTGTGATGTGTAAATTGAGTGTGGCAAATTTTACATATAGTATCTGTACATGTAGTAATTGAATGCAGAGTAATATGAAGTGGAAAAAGCACCAAATTTGGAATCATGAAACCTCGGTTTAGATCCCAGCTTTGTTACTCAACTTGCTTGTGACCATCACCAGTTACTTCTCTTCTCTGGGCCTATAATCTTCATCTGTAAAATGATAGGGTTGGACTAAATCAGAGGTTCTTAACTTTTTTATGTGTCAAGCACCCCTTTGGCAGTTTAGTGAAACCTATGGAACTCTTCTCAGAATAATCTCTTTAAATGCATAAATAAGATACCTAAAATTGCCAAGGAAATCACTTATATTTAAATATAGTTTGTAGACAAGAAAACTGTAGTCATGTGATTGAACATTAAATCTAATAGCTGTAGTTATTTCAAAGTAACAATGAACATAAACAATATTTTGAGCTCTCCAATTATAATGTGATATTAAAATATCTGAGTTCTATTGATGACAAAGTCACAGGTACTGCTAATATTATTTTGGTTTGTTGATTACATTTATTACTTAAGAAAATACTAATTTCCCTGTAGAGATTAATGAAAATATAAAGATGCAATTTTTTTCTTACCCAAATTCATAGACGCCCTGAATCTATCCACAGACCCTTTGGTTAAGAACCAGTATGGCCTCAGAAGTCCCTTTTAGCCTCAATTTATGATGCTGTGATCCTATGAAAGAGAATGGGATAATACTGATTTCAACTATGCCAACATTTCCACGGATAGTTTATTTTGGTGATCTATACTCATGACCTACATTTTCCATGCATTAGGGATGATGTGCATTGTGAAACCAGATGGACCCCCCCACCTCTGCAAAACAGATGAAATTGGAGAAATCTGTGTCAGCTCCAGAACAGGAGGCATGATGTACTTTGGACTTGCTGGTGTGACCAAAAACACATTTGAGGTATCTGTCTTACCTTGTATTTTGTCTTCCTAGCCTCTTCTTAACCTACTAGGAACAAGATTCTCATACAGTAGTTCCTTCTGTTTTTAGAAGAATCAATTCTAGATGACATGAAACTGCCAGGTTTAGGGTAACGAAAATTTTTCAATCTCCAATATGGATTTTGTCCATAGAGTTACATGTGCCTGATTTTGAATGATAAATAAATGAATGAATGAAAGAGTGGATGGATGGATGACAGAAAAATAGTATTTTAAAAATGCAATTAGAAGAAGGAAAACTACTTCCTTGAATTTATAAATTGAAATTTCGAACTTTTCTTTGTTTAAGACCTGGGAGTGGTTTCCCATAAAGCCAGTGTTTTATTAAAATGTGTAATGTATTAGTGACTTTGATCAAATGATATATTTTTAAAACTACTATGTTATTTTCAGCATCTTCCTTTTTCCATTTAGGTGATTCCAACTAATGCTGCAGGATCTCCTATTGGAGAAGTGCCCTTTGTCCGATCAGGATTGCTTGGATTTGTTGGGCCAGTAAGTAATATTTTAGTTCTTATATTTTCTGTGTGTTCAAGATGAAATACTGAGTAGATCAGATTTTTATTATTTCAGTAGTTTGGTAGGACTGAGAAATATGACTTATTAATTAAAATAGTTTCAATAGAAATTATAATCTATTTTATGAGGTAGGTTGTATTGCTTTGGCTACTCAGTTTATTTGGCTCCATAAAATAAGACATTTCTAATTTTCAGAATTGTCATTACACGGTTATACTTGCCAAATTCGATTTGATTAACATATTCTAATTTATAGAAAAGTAGTGATAAGAATTATCTTCAGCAATAGAGGAAGTACTACCTAGATAAAGTAGTTACCATGTGTTAATATAGCATGGCCCTTTATAAGGAGGATTGAAGTATGTTTGGTAAATTCAGAAAAGCTTGCAGTGAAGAGAAATGATTAATTTTTTTGTAATTAGAATTCTGGGGAAATTGTTGGCTGTGCTGCCTTTAAGTCAGACTTTTTGGAGGTTCTGACAAGAATGAGATGCCTTGCTTCTCTTCACCTTAATTGACCTGCACAAAGCACCAGCACGTGACTTTGCCATTTGCCCTGACCCTACAGACTGATCTCTGAACAACATGTGAATGAGTATCTCTTGGTTTTATTCCAGACACAAGTAAATTTGTCCTTAAAAAAGCTAAGAAACCAGACTCCACCTGAGATTGTTTGCTCTTCTTAGTTCCCATGTTACATAACAGTAACTTGTAAATCAGTGAGTGTGTTACTTGAAAATTTATAACAAAAATAGACTAACATTTAGTATGGATCAGGAAAATAAGTTATGTAACTGGCTCATGTGGAAAATTAGATGGGATCACTAATTGCTCTTCTGTATTTTTAAGGTTTCAATTTAACATTTCATCCTAGAAACAGATAGGAAAGAATGCCTTCTGTCTGGATCAGGCAATTTTTAGTCAAGGAGGTATATGGAGACAGACATATGTTCCCACAAATCAGATGCCCGTTGACTGCTGTTTTATTTTTCAGGGTAGTCTCGTATTCGTGGTTGGAAAAATGGATGGGTTGCAGATAGTTAGTGGCCGAAGACATAATGCTGATGACATTGTTGCAACTGGATTGGCAGTTGAATCAATAAAGACCGTCTATAGGGGCAGGTGAGTAGTAGAAAATTCTAATATGCTTGGAGCATTAGATAAGGGCTAAGAATTCTTGATAGAATGATTGAACTGGATTTCTCTTAGTAAGTAAGTTACCTTTGTGACATGGAACTGAAAACTAGCTTTGAAAAATACATGTTTAAAAGTTTTGAATTCCCTGTTCCCAAATGAAGTCAAGTGAACATGCATTTATGTGTTTACTGTGTACTGAGCATAGAGCTAAGTGCTCAGGATAGAAAGAAAGGCAAAAAAAAAAAAAACAGTTCCTACCTTCAGGGAATGAAATTCCACTTTTTGCCTTCACGTTCTAATGGAGTTCACGGAATGTAATTAACCATATACACACAAGATATGTTGTTGTTCAGTCATTTTCAGTTGTGTCCATTTCTTCATAACCTATTTAGGGTATTCTTGGCAAAGATACTAGAGTGATTTTCCATTTCCTCTCATCTTACAGATGAGGAAACTGAAGCAAACAGGGTTTGCAAATGACTTGCCCAAGGTCATACAACTGTTAAATTTCTGAGGCCAGATTTGAACCCAGGAAGACGAGTCTTCCTGAATTCAGGCCTGGCACTCTATACACTGTTGCCACCAAGATAAATTGGAGGTACCTGAGAGAGAAGGCACTAGTTTTGAGGTGGACCAGGAAAGGGTTTTTTTTTTTTAAATATTATTTTATTTTTTCCCCAATTACATGTTAAAACAATTTTTTAAATTTTTTAAATTTAATTTTAATTTAATTTTTTAAATATTTTTCTCAAAGTTTTGAGTTCCAAATTCTATCCTTCCCACACTCCCTCCATTCTCCCCTCCCTGAGACGGTAAGCAATCTGATATAGTTTATACAATCATGTAAAACATTTCCATGTTAGTCATTTTGTACAAGAAAATGCCAATTTAAAAAAAGAAAGTGAAAAATAGCATGCTTCAGTTTGTATTCAGATGGTATCAGTTCTTTCTCTAGAGGCAGATAGCATATTTCATCATGAGTCCTTTGGGATTGTGTAGGTTCACTGTATTACTGCGAATAGCTAAATCATTCATATTCTTCATTGTATAGTATTGCTATTACTGTATACAATGTTCTCCTGGTTCTGCTCACTTCACTTTGCATCAGTTCATGTGAGTCTTTCTAGGTTTTTCTGAAATCATCCTGCTTGTCATTTCTTATAGTACAATAATATTCCATCTAAAATCATATACAATAGCTTGTTTAGCCATTCCACAATTGGTGGGCATCCTTTCAATTTCCAATTCTTAGCCACCACAAAAAGAGCTGCTGTAAATATTTTTGTACAAATAGATCCCTTTTTTGTGGTCATGGCCACATTTGCCAGGCTGGTGAAGCATGTGGACCCCTTCTCAGAATAAAAGTTTTAAATATACTAAATTTCAGTTAGAGGTTAGAGAAAATAAAGATATAATTTTTTTCCTGTCCAAGTTCACAGACCCCTGAAAACATACCCCTTGGTTAAGAGCCTCTGTTATAAAATAAACTTTTTACCCTAGGATTTAAGACTTTCTGTAATCTGGCTCCAACCTACCTTTCTAAGATACTGCTTTGCTATAATTTACATTCCAGGCCTAGGCTCAGCCTCCATACTTTCTGCACACTGTGTCTCCTGTTCACAAGATAGTCTCCTCATCTTTCTGAAGTCTTTCAAGGCCCAGCTTCATTGCCTTTCTGTCTCTGAAGCCTTCCCTGATCTCCTCATTTATAAGTGATTTTCTTTCACAAGTATTTTGTACTGCACTCTTTGGCCCTCTCCTGTGAACATGTTATTAGTAGTATATTGATTATGATTATTTTTGTTTCTTGTATGACATCTGTTCTATTATAATTTTCTCAGAGACTATTTCGTTTCTTCTTTTGTATCCTCAGATCCTAGTGTATAATGAGTGGCACTTAATATTAATCTTTGTTGCATTGATGTCCCCTTTCTCTGTAATAGCGATAGCCCATGTTCATATGTGCTATTATTATGTATACTTTGTGGTCACAGAGTTTTTATATATTTAGCTCAAATGAGCCCCATAACAGCTCTGTGAATTAGCCAGTGCAAGTACTAGTCTCATTTCACATATGAGGAAACTGAGGCACCACCACTTGTTCAAGGTCACCCAGCTAGCAAGTGACATAATTGGAACTCAGGCCGAGCTCCTGTGACTCTGAGTGCACTGCTCTTCCCAGGGCCGCTTGCTTCCTTATTTCATTTCACTAGAGGTTGAATGTGTCATTGTATTTATGATTTTTCCTTCTCAGGATCGCTGTGTTCTCTGTATCTGTGTTTTATGATGAGCGCATTGTAGTGGTGGCAGAGCAGCGGCCTGATGCTTCTGAGGAAGATAGCTTCCAGTGGATGAGCCGAGTACTACAGGTAAACTAGCCTCCCAGACTTGGGGAGTTAGAACCAGTAGGTTTTATTGTTAGAGAGAGAAGAATCATTGCTTAGTCACAATGTGGATGTTAGCTTTGTTCTCACCTGCAAATTGTGGCCCTCACCTTGTTCTTTACAGCAGTCACCCACATATATTTGGGTACTTCTGGCAAAAGAGGACTGGTAGGTACCACTCAATCTGTCCAAAGTAAATCACCAAGGCCCTTCCACTTGGCTTCCAGCTAGTAACTCTACTCTTATGTTTTGCATGTCACTCTTGTCTCTTTCTTGTATAAGTTTAAACAATTTCATCTGTCTTTACTTGTTTTTCTGCCCATAAAATTGATGATCATTAAATGGTTACCTATCTTAGACGTTTAGTTTTGAACCAGTCAGTGGCTATTTATTGAACAACAGCTAGGTGCCTAGAATTGTGCTAGAGCTTTAGCAGGTTTGAGGAAAGATAGTTCCAGCTCTTAAGGAGCAGGAAACTAGTCTAGTTGTATGAAATAGAAAGTAGCACTAGACAGTCTATACATGTTATCGAGTACACACTATAAATGTAGAATGTTTAGAGAAGGGATAGGTCATTGGCCATCAGAGTTGTCAGAGAATACTTCATAGAGGAGGCAATATTTAAGCTATGCCTTAAAGAATGAGTAGGATTTGGACATAGCAAGAGAATATTTGTAGGGTATCTGACGTAGAATGAAAGATGCATCGCATAGTAAAAACTTGGTGAAAATTTGCATTGATTCCCTTGCGTTCCCCCCACCCCAACTCTTCAGAGCAGCTTGGCCATAAATTTTGGCTTTCTTATAATTTGTCTCGTAATGTTTTCATTGATCTGTATATATCGTGTCTATGGCTCTTCTTTACCTCATTCTTCTAAGTCTTGAAAGAGGATTGAGTTTGATAGACCTTTATTTAGCAAAAACACAAAAAACACATTTGAAAAAAAATCTCATTTGAAGAAACAGAAATACGTCCCTTTTGCCTAAATCATTTCAGAGTTAGGAAGCAATTACAGAACCTCAGATAGAAGGGAGTTCAAAGGTCATCTTGTCCAACGCATTACCTTATTAAGTCTCCCTTTTACAACATCATGAACAAGTGGTCATCTAGTCTTCATTCAAAAACCTACACTACAGTTTTCAGTCCATCCTTCCTGAGAGAGCCAGTTCCATTTTTGGACAACTCCACTTATTAGGAAGTCTTCCATATGCCAGTCATCCCTAATTCCCACCCCCATCAAACTGAACTGTTGAATGTCGTTATGAACATAGCAAAATGAAATTTTGGGGATGGCAGTTACATCATATTTTTTGACCTGAGCCATGTGGATGAGGATTATTGTTTTCCTAGTGCCAGGAACACTGTAGAATAGGCACTAGACAGCAGAGCCAGAGCTAAACATTAGAGCAAGTGGGCACTGGGTCTGGACATAAAAGAGTATGATGAGAAGCATTTTTTACCTTGAATATAATAGGGCCTGAATAAATGCTTTTGAATTGAATGATTCTCTGTCCCTATTGATTTATGAAGGCATCTTGCATAACTACCGTACATTTGCTTTGTTTTTTTTCTGTACATACTGATATGTGTACATGTTGTCTTTCTTGATAGTGTATAAACCCCGAGAGAGTTGCCTTTTTTTTTTTAATCTTTTGGTCTTTTTATCCCCAGTACCTACTGTGGTGGCTGGCACATAGTAGGTCCTTTAAAATGCTTATTGTTTGATTTGTAAAATGCACATTTGTAATAACAGAAAACTCCCTTTTCCACAGCACTAATTCAGCTATTTATATTTTGTGTCAAGTCAAGTTGCATGTGTTGTAGTGAAGGTTCACAGTACCCCAGAGAATTAGTAACATATAAATGAATCTAATTTGGAGACTTTACCTAGAGCACACAATTGGCTTGGCTCTTCCGTATCCCATGTGTTCTCATATTTCAGAACTCTTGAATCATAGTAATGGCTTGAGGTAGAATGAGTAAGGAATAACACTTCTGTAACACCTCATAAATTGGTAGTCAAAGGGAATCATTCAATTCAGTAGAAATTAAGTGCCTACTATGTGCAGGGCAAATTCAAAGTGTGCCTTGTGCCATGTGCAAGAGATTCAAAGACAAAAATGAAACCACCCTCTCAGAGAGCATGCATCTGTATAAAGGCAGATAAACACACACAAGGTGATGTAAGGAACAGCTGGGAAAAACAGGGAAGTTTTCACAGACAACATGGCATATAAACAGAGCTATAGCATCAACTATAGAGAAATAATCATTAGTTATCAGTTAAGCACTCACATAGTAAGCACCTAAATTGACATCTTCCAAGGAAAGATCACTAAAAGGTGACATAATGCCAGAAACTGTACTTCCAGTTGAAAGATCGCAGACACTCATAACATAGGCTTGTTGGCATTCTATAGACCCTGACGTACATGAACCAGAGGCATTTTTCAATCCTCTCCCTTCTGTACAGCCTGTTTCTGAGTAATACTTAGAAATAAATATGCATGTTAGCCCGCTCCTCTGTTTTCTCATTTTAATTTAATTATTAATTTTATATTTATAATTACATGTAAATATATCATTATAATGATATATTTATAATTAATTAATTTGATTTCTTATTATTTTAATTCTTAGTAAGTATTAAGAATGAGAAAAGAACAATAACCTTGTAAGATGACTCTCACTTCTGCTTGCTAACCCATTCTTCTTTAAGGCCACATCTCATCCTTAAGCTCAGCATGTGCAATTGCTATAGCAAAAACATTTTGCTTAAATTTAGCCAAGCTGAAGAGTAGTAGTCTGCCTCAGCTTGCCAAATGAAAGACCAAAACAGCTTGGTCCAGTTTTTGACTCATCCACAGGCTCATAGGAGCTTATTTAGCAAATTAACGACCATCTGTGTGCTCATTCAGACTGCTTTTGCATCGTTTTTAACTTCTCATCTTTGCCACAGATTGAAAAGGAATAAGGGACCTTTGGGTGTATGAGGCACTTGTGTCTTGATTTGTATGTAGTTGCTGCTATCTACCCAACCTGGATTCCTTCCTTCCTCCCCCTATCCCCCAAGTATTGATTTACAAGACTTTAAGGGAAGGAGTGCTGTTTCTATCCATTATCATGTTAATTTCCTGATGTTGGACTGATAATATAATAGGAAGGAAGGAAGAGGCCCGGGACTGTAAGAGGCGATAAAATATATTAGGAGGAACTGATCATGAATATAATAAAGTTGATTAATTAACAGTTTTTCTTTGTGTTTGTTTAGGCAATTGACAGTATTCATCAAGTTGGGGTATACTGTCTTGCTCTAGTTCCAGCCAATACTTTGCCAAAAACTCCACTTGGAGGAATCCATATATCTCAGACAAAGCAGCACTTTCTGGAGGGGTCGCTGCATCCTTGTAATATTCTTATGTGTCCACATACGTGTGTCACCAATTTGCCAAAACCCCGGCAAAAACAACCAGGTAATGTGTTGACTCGAAGGTCCTAAATTGCAGCCTAGAGGAAAAAGGTGTTCCAAGCCTGTTTCAGTTGCCATAATTTAGATTCTCTTCATTTCACTTTGTTTAGAGTGACAAGTCTTACACAAAAGCCATAACACAAAGGGTAACAAAGCACCAACACAAGCCCCTTTCTTGGGGTGTATAGCTCTTTGTCTCTACTATTCACCTCTCAATGATATGACTCCTCATACATCCCTGTGGGGTCTTAGAGCAGCACTATAGTTGCACTATAGTTGGTGCAGTTACCAAAATCCTACATCTAGAACTAAGGGGAAACAAACCCCCAACAGAGCAGTCTTGAGGTGAAAGACTGGCTACTGGGAAATCTTTCTCCCTGGAATTATTGTTTACTCCTTTCCATATTCAAGTACCTGGTTTTGCCCAATTACGGGAGTAGGGGGATATTAATGCCTAACAAAAATTGCCTGTATCTAAACACAAGTTGAGCTCAAGTCACCATAAAGCTTTAGGAAGAAGCTAATAGACTCAGAATTGCCAAATCAAGAAATCCAAACATGCTTAATTTAAGTTTCTTTTTAAGGCAAATCTAGAGTAAGGAACAAGGCAATTCCTGGTACCGTGAACCTGGCAATCTAACATAGTGATCATTAGAATTTAGATTAGATCCTTCATGGGATCATAGATCTGGAGCTGGAAGGAACTTTAAAGGTCATCTCAAATCCAGACCAGAGCTGATGGACCTTTTTTGGGTCATGGACCCCTTCTCAGAATAGTGGGTTTGTTTTGTTTTGTTTTAATTCACAATTGAAGGAAATGCTAAATTTCAGTTAGAGATGAGTCTCATCAAAGTTCACAGGCTCTTTAAATCTGTCCATGGACCCCAGTTTATAGTCCAAACTAATCCCTTCATTTTACAGATGAGGAAACTGAGACTCATAAAAGTTCAATGACTTCTCCCACAAGTGGGAAGTAAGTGGAAGAGCTCAGATTCAAATTCAGGCCCTGGGATTCCACATTTATACTGTATTGTATTGCCTCCATGGCTTCAAATTTTATTAATAATATATTTTCATTGAGAAATTAAGTATTTTTATTTGCTGCTAATAGCATGAAAGATCCCCATATTTGTACGTGCCTGAGGAACAGTCACACGTTAGAGCAAAAAGGACCTTGAAAACATGATTTAGATTAACTTTAATATTGAGGAAGAGGAATTCCTCAAATGGAATGAGGATGAGAAAACTGTGATGAAAAAAGCTGAAGTAACTCGCTCAGGGTCTCACAACTGGAGTCAGATCCTCAGAGTCACAAACATAATGCTCTTGCCACCACACAGCCCAGAAGTCTATTTTTCAAAGCAAAATATTTCAAGAATATACTATAACCCACTTTCTTTCAATGGCAACTGCTTTGAATTTGTAGGCAGATGGTGGTATTTAATTATGATAAAAACTGTAAAATATTTTGTTAAAAAATGATTGCAAAGTACAGCAGTAAATTATTGAAAGTTCTGCTACCTTTCATTCTTTCTGGGAAATTGTAGCAGATTTGTCTGTTAAGATGTTTATATAAAGTAGATTCTTCTCTCTAGTAATATGAACTATAGTTATCCTGTGAATGAAGATTTTTATCCCAATTAAATATGTACTTACGTTTTTAATCATCAACATTTACTGAATACCCACTGTACCTAGCTAGGACATACATGACATTTACTAGGTGCTAGGGTTGGTATTTATACTAAATGGTGAAGACACTATCCCTGTATTCAGGAAGCTAGGATAAATGAGCCTACATCCTGCTAATCAAAGGATTCATGGATCAAAATGCATACACACACACATATATACATATATATATATATAATGCTACTCACATTTAAAAGTTATGACAAACTATTTTCTCTTTTTTTGTTTGTTTCCTCTTTCTCATGGTTTTTCCCTTTGGTTCTAATTCTTTACAACATGACTAATGTAAAAATATGTTTATTATGATTATACATGTACACCCTATATTGGATTGCACGCTGTCTTGGGAAGTGGAGAGCAGAGGAAGGGGGAGAAAATACAACTCAAAATCTTATAGAAGGGAATGTTGAAAACAAAAGACAATTAAAATAAAATTAAAGAAAATACCCCTTAGATTGACAAAGTTGACAAAAAAGGAAAATTGCAAGTGTTGGTGAGGCTATGGGAAAATAATCACATTAATGCATTGTTGATGGAGTTGTGAATTGGTCCAGTCATTCTGGAAAGAAATTTGGAACTATGCCAAATTATTAAACTGCTTACCTTTTGACCGAGAATTACTACTACCGTGCCTACGCCCCTAAAGAGAGAGAGAGAAAAAAAGAATACTCAGAAATACAAAAGTATTGTAGTTGCTCTCTTTGTGTTGGCAAAGAATTGAAAACTAATGGGAGACCCATCAATTGGGGAATGGCTGAACAAATTATGGTTTTTAAATGTAATGGAATACTATTGTGCTATAAGGAATTATGAAGAGGATAGTTTTCAAGAAACATAGGCAGTATTATATGAACTGGTGCAGAGTAAAGTGAACAGAACCAGGAGAATAATTCATACAATAAAAGCAACTATAAAAAAATAAATAAATAAAAGTAATGACGAAAGCTTACAAAACACTGTCCTGCTTAAGTAAGTACACACAATATACACACCAAATCCCATTACCTTGAAGTTGAGACCATAAATACCTTTTAAGTGAAGGATTCTGTTTGGGGAAGCTGTCACCATATTCTCCTGGATGCTCAAAGTAACAATACTTTGAGTCTTGTATTGAATCTGTATCATTCCCTTCTTAATTTCCTGTTCATGTGCCATTCAGACTACATAATCCTAAAATTGTATACCAGGATCTCAGAGTGCAAAGTGAATGAATAGGTAAGTAGAGATGAAGTAGTTTGTAAACTATTCCAGGGACAGTGAGAGACAATGATGAAGGTGTAGCACAAGGTCTCAGAATGTGTAGTAGTGAAAATGGACATAGTGACTCAGTTGTCAGAACTGGCTGAGGATATGGGAGAAATGGAGAAGATGCCAGGGCCAGGTTCTTATTTGGCAGGAACATGTGGATGGAGGAGTTGTGCAGAGCTGTGAGAATAATAAGGCACAAATACAGTAGGCGTGGTAGTGTGGTTACTGCTGCTGATGTCACCTCCCAAGGAATGTACACTGAAACCATACCCCCTCTGTAGATTGCTCAACTTAGATTTCATCTAGTAAGTTTTATGTCCTAGGAGGCTGGCAGTTCCTCCTTGGAGTCAGAGAAACCTAGGTTTGAAAAGCAAAGCAACTCTTGACCCTTGCAGTACAATCACGAGCAAATTACTTACCTAGCCTCTCTGAAACTCATCTTTCTTCCCTGTAAAATGAGGATAATAATACCAGTTATTACCTATCCCCAAGATTGTTGTGAAGATCAAATGAGATAATACATGTAAAGTGCTTTGTAAACTTTACAGCGATATTTAAATATCCATTGTTATTATTACTTCTCCTAAAAGATTCTCTATATATCTGCATCTCTAGATTTAGTATCCTTATAACTTTGTGCTCTGATTGATGCAAATTAAGTTGGTGCTCGATATGAACCAGCTGTAGTTCAGTTTGGATGTGCTTTCAGAGAAGTACAGTTTGAGGTTAGTTTCCAAGAAAAATTTGTCTTTGCTTACAGTTGTAGGTCCTGCCTCTGTGATGGTTGGGAACCTTGTTGCTGGAAAACGAATTGCACAAGCTGCAGGGAGAGACCTTGGGCAAATTGAAGAGAATGATTTGGTGAGAAAGGTGAGTGTTCCAGATGTAGCTTTGAAGTACATAGAACTTATTGTAGAACTTGCAGTTATAGAACAGGAGGCAGCTTAAGAGACTCAAGTCGATGACCCTGTTTTCTCTTTTTTATGACTGCAGCACCAGTTTCTGGCAGAGGTATTACAGTGGAGAGCTCAAGCCACTCCTGACCATGTACTCTTCCTCCTGCTCAATGCCAAGGTATCAGGAATGAAATAATACTGAATACTGTCCTATATTATTCTGAGTACCTTTGATAGAGTTCTCGTTCTTTCAGTAAAGTGTCCTCTATTTAAACTCTACATCCAAAATCTGCTTTTTTCTTATAACAAATAAGGATGATTTTCAGAATTACTGGAGGATTAAACTGTTATTCGCCAGCATAATTCTACTGTCTCTTCTTAGAATACAGACAATTTTTATGGTCATTAATAGAAGTATGCAGATATAAAGAGAGTTTGAAATGGGCTTCAAAATTTGATATGGATAATCTACAAAGGCATAATATACACCTAAATTAAGAATTGGTTGTATTGTTTTTTTCTGCATTGAAATTTGTTTTCATTTTGCTTCTCAGCTCAGCTTCCATTCCATTGACTGTGTTTCTGTTTAAAGGGAACCACTGTATGTACAGCCAGCTGCCTTCAGCTTCACAAGAAAGCAGAGAGAATTGCAGGAATTCTTTATGATAAGGGACACCTAAATGCAGGGGACAACGTAGTGCTTCTTTATCCACCTGGTAAGATTTTGGACAATAGTCATCATTCTTTAATCCCAGGCTTTAGTTGTTTGTCACTTAACCTCAGAATCACTGAAAACACTGCATGTCTACAAGTTCAGGAATAGGGAGTATTTCATCTGTTATTTCTAACTCACTAATCTCTAAAAATCACCATAACTCAAAAGTGTCAGGGAAATGATATTTGTTTGAAAGAATTTTCATGGTGTGATTAAACTGTAAATTGCTTCCATTATTGTATGTTTTCAATTCTTGTATGATTTTTCTCCCTATTACTCCAACAACCTCTTCTTCATAGTAAAAGAGAGTCAGAATTATTTGATGACAGTTTTGGTATGCACAGTGACAAAATTACTAGTTGAAATAATTAGATTTTTCCATTATTCTTTTCACTGTGCTTTATTCCTATCTCTTGCCCTGTTTCTGTCCCTAACCCTTTATACTTGGCTCCCTTTATATTCCTCTCTTCATTGTATGGAGTCTTAGAGTAAGAGGAGACCCTTAGAGATCATCTAGCAAGTGCCCATCCATTTAGAATCCCCTCTATGGATGTTACCTAGCCTTTATTTGACTATTTCCAGAGAATATTACCTCACTAGGAAAGCAGCCCATTCTATTTTGGATTACCTATGATTATTAAAAAGTTCTTTATATTAAACAAAAATCTGTCTCCTTACAACTAAGTTTTGGTCCTTCCTAGTAATTGACCTTTATTCTGCCTGAAATTTTACGGAGTAAATCTAATGACCTTCTGCAAGAGAGCCCTTCAAATGTTGGAAATACAGCACAAGCTTTATTTACGTCTTCCCTTCCATCAACTAAATATCCGCCATTGCTTCAGTCATTGCTCCAAGGGCCTAATTTCCACATATTTCGTTATCCTCCTTTCTCTTTTCCTCTGTCCCTCTTAATGTGTGGTTGCCAGTCAGGAACACAATACCCAATGTTATCTGACCCAGAGTGAGGCATCATCTCCCCTAATCTAAACATTTCTACTTAAACTCTTAGGTCTTTTTCATATGAACTGCTATTAAATCATGATTTCCCAATATCGTATTTGTGTAGGTGGTTTTGTTGAACCTAAGCACAGGACTTTACATTATTTCCATTAAATTTTATCATTGAGCTTTTTTTTTCCCATAAAGTATATTCACTAACTTTCTTGGACTCTCTCTTTTGCCTTTGATCTTTTCTCTTCTTTGTGAACTTCCTTGTTAACATCACCGCTGAAATTTTATCTGAATTACCCATTTGGCATATGATTTGATGAACAGTGTATAAATTATCTGTTGTTGAGAGTTCTAATACTTGGCATGTTAAATGATATTCTGTGACAATGTCCCCTCCTGTTGCCTTGCAGGCATTGAGTTAATTGCTGCGTTCTATGGCTGTCTATATGCTGGGTGCATTCCTGTGACAGTTCGACCTCCTCATGCTCAGAACCTTACTGCCACCCTACCCACTGTCCGCATGATTGTTGATGTAAGCGCTAAGTGTAACCAAGCTAGTTGTTTTGTTTTGATCACCATCCCATCTGGGTTCAGACAATTGATGATTCTCAGGGATTTTCCAAATTGGTTTTCACTTTGAAATGGCTAGAGTTCATCTAAAAATTTCATGGAAACTCACTTTGATTTTTGCTAGATCTCTTCACCTTAATCTTGTCTCTCAACTTTTATATAATGCCTAAAGATATAGGATTGCTATATTGCAATTAATGATTAGTGAGTTAGAGAGTTTTGAGTTTTTGTGGTGCCCGTTGAAGGGCATATGTAATTTTTATTACTCAGCACCCCATGAAATCTGTCTTACTCTTTTCCACATAACCTCTTCATTCTTCCCTTTCCTGACTCATTCTTGATTTTGTTATTTTGGAATGTGATCTGGCACGGCATTAAAAGAAGCCCAGCAAGGATGCCTCAATATATTTGTAGAGCAATCTGTTCCCATGGTATTAACAAAATTGTTTTTTAATCAAACAAAGGGCCCCAGTGACAAGTTGCTATGGAATATTTAGTATCCAAATGTCACAAGATCCAAAATAAATAAATTTAGTTGCATTGAATCCCATTGTAGTTTAGAGCACAGGGCAGTTAAAGTTTGAGTTTCAAATGTATATAATGTTTTTTTCTGAGAATGACTTATGTCCATAGGATCAAAGAGTGCTCATTATAGATTTTCGTAAGTCCTAATGGGTGAATTCTGCATAAATTTCATCATGGTCCGGGTAGTGGGGTTGAGAGATCAGAAAATGAAAATCCTGCTTTTCAAATATATCAGGCAGTATAGTATGGTAAAAAGAGCACGAGACTAGAAGTCAGGACAGTCCTAGATTCAAATCCCACCTTCAAGCACTTAACCTGTCTCACTTTTGGTTTTCTTATTAGTAAAAGAAGGCACTAATTCCTATAGTATTCACCTCACAGGATTGTGATGGGGATCTGATGAGGAAAATATATGGAAAGTATTTTGCAAACCTTAAAGTCCTATATAAAAAGATGTTATTGTTGTCAGTATTATGTGTCAGTACGGGAGAAAACTAAGACTACAGAAATACATTTTGTTTCAAGTCTAGAAATGGACAACAGACTCCTTTTATATGCTTCAGAAAGAAAAAATGTAAGAGAGAGAAAACATTTTTTCATACCTGCTTCATTGGCTGGATATCAGAAGACCTAGATTCAGGTTCCAGCTTTGTTATCTCAGGCAAGTCATGTGATTTCTCTGGGCCTCAATTATCTCTTGTTTGTAGAATGAGAAATGAGAAATTTTGCCCAGATATCTGAGGTCCCTGTGAGCTTCTAGGACAAAAAAAAAAGATACAATCCAGAGTACTTGCCTAGGTAGTAATATGTTTGATACCACTACTGCTTATGATTTTTTTTTCTTCTTTTCTCACACCTGTTTACTAGGTCAGTAAAGCAGCCTGCATTCTCACAACTCAGACCCTGATGAGGTTGCTGAAGTCTAGAGAGGCAGCAGCAGCTGTAGATGTGAAAACATGGCCAACCATCATTGACACAGGTGAAAGGGTCATCATGACTTCAAACCTCCAAGCACAGTTCTTAGGCACTTTTTTCCAGTGTGGTTGAGGGAGTAAATTCTACTCATTCATTCACCTGTGCTACCTAAGAAACCCCAGAAGATTATGCTAGATTATATATAAATCACACTTACTTATGTAGTACTTGTATTGCAGCATATTTCATTTATATGGACACAAAAGTAAATATTCATTAGACAAATTAAATTTCTCTAAATGGCATTGCAAAAAAGCCCAAGAAATTATGAACCAAATCCAAAGATTCCTGAATATCAAATTCTAAAAACAATTTAAAATGAAAAAAGTTCTGTGAACACATGTTATAACTCACCACTATCACTGACCAGTAGTGTTGTATTCACTCTGGGCAGGATGATATTTAAGGTGATTATAAAGTATTAAGAAGATCTCACCTCTACCTTTTGATCTGGTATAATAGAAAAATCACTTGATTAGGAGTTGAAAGATCTGTTTTCTAGTCCTGATTCCGTGGCTTACTGACCATGCAACTTTGGGCAAATCATTAAATTTCCCTCATCTGTGTAGTGGCAGTAATGAAAACTGCTCTAGTAGCACCAGTGAAAATAAACACCAGCTTGTTCTTACTCTGGGGGATACTAGTTGCTAGCAAAAAATGAGATGTATCAATATTTTATAGTTTGTAGACCATGTCAGATGGCATTAATTAATTGATAATTTTTTTGTCCAGACATCTGATTTCATTAGTATAGGGCATTCCCTGGTGAGGAAACTTCTGCTGATGCAAATTTGCAATTGTTCTGCAACTTAGAGTCTTAGAGTGTGTTGAAGGCCCTGAAGGTTGAGTGGTTTGCCCTGAGTCTTCAGCCCTTATATGTCATATACAGCACTCAGACTCTGGTCTTCCTCATTCTGAGGCTGGCTCTCTCTACTATACCACACTGCCTCTCTGTGATTATTCCCACCATTATTGTTTTGATGAATAAATTGCAAGACAGAGCAAATACATAGATTTTTTTAAGACTGTGTAGTACAAATGCACACATACATATATACGTCTTTATGTTGACACACTTTAGACACTGAATTCCCCATGACATATGAGTGATTGCCATGGGATCAGTACTACAAATTGATCTATGGTTGATGAGTTTAGTCTGAGAGATTTATAGGAAATGATATGATGGGCATGATTTATGCAGTGGTGTAGATCAGGAACCAGAAAGTTGCCTTGGAGGACTATAGGTTAAGAAAGTCTTTGACTCTTCAGGAGATTGAGTGTTAGGTTAAGGTAGTTTAGGACCAAGGATAAAGTGCCCCAAAACTGGAGCTTAGTTTCACTGCCTTTGAAGCACATGTGTCTAAATTTAGTCTTTATCGAGGAAGCAGAAGGAGCCATTCTAGAGTTCTGAGGGCCAGGGTATTGCATTTCATGAATGGAGAGAGGGGGAAAAAGGTGTCTGGCTTTCTGTCTGTACTCTGGTTCATTGGAAACTTGATTGTATGAACCTCTAAAGTATTTTTTAATGGTTGTAGTGTGCTAAGGATAGTACTTTTGAAGCTATAAACGACCAACTCTCTGAATCCAGATTCACACTCAAAGAATTCCAAATTTCACTTTTTAAATAAATTCCATCAAATAAACATAAAATTGTTTCTTTTCAACCTAGTGGTGGTCTCATCCCAAAAGCACCTCCACATGTGACAGAATGGCCTCCTGGTTGAATACTTAAGTGAAGAAGCCAAAGCTTACTTAGTAAGGCACAGAAACTAAACTTTACTGAAACAATTTCTAAGAAACTACTTGAAATCAGTCAACCAATTTTGAAACATTTGTTAAGCACCCACTGTCTTCCATGCAGTGTGCTAAACATGAGAGCTACAAAGACAGAAAAGCAACAATCTCTGCTCTCAAGGAGTTTTCATTCTTATAGAGGAAGCAACTTTGTACACAAATACAGACATTAAAAAAAAAATACATACAAGGTAATTTGCAGGGTGGGGAGGCATTCCTAAGAAAACCAAGCACTCTGGTGAGCAGAGAGTACATTCCAGGCATAGGGGACAGCCTGTACAAAGGTAAAGAGAAAAGAGTGGGCAGTGATTTTCATGTTGTAACACTCTTGACCTCTGTGGATTATTTCTTTGCAGATGATTTGCCCAGGAAGCGGTTACCTCAGCTGTATAAACCTCCCACCCCGGAGATGCTGGCATACCTCGATTTTAGTGTTTCCACAACTGGCATGCTCACAGGAGTGAAGGTAGCGTGAGGGGTCATGTTCAGATGTTTGCTGGGTGTCAACGACGCCAAAAAATTGTTCTGTTTGAGCACAGAGGGCAGAACTAGGAGGAAGAGTGAAAGTCACAGAGAGGCTGATTTAGGCTTGATAGTAAGCAAAGTTACTACTAAGTAAATCTGTCCCAAAGTGGAGCAGGCTGCCTCAGGATGGGGTAGCATCCCCTCATTGAAGTAGAAACTGGGTGACCACTTGTCAGTTATGTGATTAGATGGCTGTTGAGGGGCGGGCCCTCTAACTCAGAGTATATGAAATTGCACTTATATAAAATCCCTGCCCTGACGTCCCAACATTACCAATCTTGACCCTATTGTGAACCTGTTCAGTTTACACTGTTGCTCCCTTGGGCTATTTCCCAATCCCAGGAGGGTTCCCAACACCATCTAGTTGGTTAAACATGTTAACTGGGTTTACTACAAATTTATGTTAATCTCATCGGTTCCTTAGCACTATGCCACTTTTTAATTTTTCCCCAACTCTTGCATTCCCCACAACTAGTTCCAAATCATTTCCTCCTTAAACTCCTCACATACGATTCCCCTTCCCTTAACTTTCAGCAAAAGACTTCTTCAAAAGGACATTATACTTAGATCACATTTTATGAGCTCCCTCTTTTCCACAACTTTGTATCTCAAAATCCCTTGTCATCATTCCCCCATTCTCTCCTTTACTTCAGTCTCTGAGCAAGAGGTGACTTCTTAGTCTCACCTCTATTTTGTCCTTGATCCCATCACCCATTTTCTTTTCTGGCAGTCAGATTATTTTCTCAGTTATCCCCTCTCTTTAATCTTTGATCTCTCCCCTTATCTACCTGCTCCTTAGAAAGAAACACAGATCTTACCTATCCTTAGAAAAATTTCAATAGGGGGCAGCTAGGTGGCGCAGTGGATAGAGCATCAGCCCTCTAGTCAGGAGGACCTGAGTTCAAATCCAACCTCACACACTTGACACTTACTAGCTGTGTGACTTAACCACATTGGGCAAGTCACTTAACCCCATTGCCTAAAAAAATAAAATAATAAAGTAAAATTGATAGATTTTTTAAAAAAAGAAAAAAAATTTCAGTAGAACTTAACCATCCTCTCAAGCAATTTTCTTTCTTCTGTCCCTTTCATAGCCAAACTCCTAGAAAAGGATGTCTGTGCTCTCCATTCATTGCCTCTATTTCTGCTCTCAACCCCATGCAATCTGGCTTCCATCCTCATCATTCAGTGAAAATGTCTCTTGCCCAAGGTTTCAGTGATCTGTTAATTGCCAGATCCAAAGGCCTTTTTCATTCCTTATCCTGCTTGATCATTTTGCACCATCTGACACTATTGACCACTCTCTTCTCTCTGGGTTCTTGTGACACTGCTTCCCCTTAGTTCTCCTATCTAATTCACCGTTTCTTCTTTGTCTCCTTTTGGATCATTATCCATGTCCCATGCCCTGAGGACATACTCCAGGTCTCTACCTTGGGCCCGCTTCTTTTGTCTCTGTACACACATTCTCAGTAATATCTGCTCCCATGGGGTTAGATGGTTGACTATAAAAACATGACTCCCAGTTCACATATGCATCCCTAATCTCTCTTCTAGCCTCCAGTCTTGTGTTACCAACTGCTTATTGGATATTTGAAACTGTACATCTTAAATGCATCTCAAACTTATTATGTTTAGAATGGTTCATCATATTTTACCTTCAGACCCGCTCCACTTCTCAGCTCCCCCACCACCGTCCTTCACGGTTGTCAGAAAGGCTTACGACCTCAAGTCTTCTTCAGGTCATCACTCTCACTGAACACACATATCTAATAAGTTGCCAAGTCTTGTTAATATACAACTCTAAAAACAGCTTTGCCTCCTTTCTCCTTCTCTTTTTTCACATTACAGCCCCTCTAGTTTAGGCCTCACCACCTCCTATCTAGCCTATTGCGGAAGTCTCCTGTTAGTCTCCCTTCTCCACACAGCTCCCAGTGTGATATTTCTAAAGTATAGTTCTTGTGCTGTCACTTACCTGTTTACAAAGCAGTGCTGTATCCAGGAGAAAAGGCACACTTCTCTATATGGCGTTTAAAGCCTTTTACAGACTGGCTCTAGCCTGCTTACCAGGGATATTGCATATTACTGCTTTAAGAACCCTATATTCTGGCTGAAAAGGCCTATTTGCTATTTCTTGTAAACAGCCTTTACACAGACTGTCCCCACCTAGAATGCACTCTCTCTCTATCTCTACCTATTAAAATCCTTTACTTTTTTCAAAATTCCGTTCAGGTACAGCCTCTTACATCATATATTTCCTCACCTGCTCAGCTGTTAGTGCTCCCTCAAAAATTACTTTGTATTTTCTTTGTAAGGATTCTACTCTCTTGTTACATGTTCTTGTTGTTTCTCCTAACTGAAGGTAAGCTCCCTGAGGGCAGGGACTCTCATTATCTTTGTGTTTCTGGAGCTTAGCAGTGTGTATATTATGCAGTAGGTGTTTAACAAATGCTTGTTTATTGATTAATTGATTGCCCTGGGGCCTTCCCTTCATTGTAAAAGGACTGGATGACCCACGGTTCAGAAGCCTGGGGCTAATGCAAGTTTATTCCCAATGGTGACATTTATCATAATTATTATTTTCTCTACAGTAATCCAGATCACCCTAAATGGTGTGATGTGTTAGATTATTAGAATTATAGCCGTTGAGAAATCTTAACTCAAGAGTCACACTTTAGTCTAACCCTCATATACTGTGGATAACCTCCACTGAAGTCCTACTCCGGCTTTATTAAAGTATAGTGGTGACCTTTGTTTCTGAAAGGCTGTCAGCATAATACAAGCTTTGGTAAGTGCTCCCTAGGTACAGAGGCTTGGAATATAGACCCAGCGTCACTGTCTTTCAAGAGCTATCATTACTAGGTTTGGATAGCTTGACCACTAGGTTATAAATTGTTTTGGTCATAACAACTTATCAAACAGCTCGCTAAGGCAAGAGGAGCTGTAATCTATTTTAGTAAAGAAAGAATCCGTACTAATACAATCATAGGGGTTTTTTTGAAGCATTAAAGTTAGTCAGATAATGAGGAGATCAACCAATAAGAGGCCATAATTCCAATGAAGCTTTTGGGGGGCAGCGAGGTGGCGCAGTGGATAGAGCACCAGCCCTGGAGTCAGGAGGACCTGAGTTCAAATGTGGCCTCAGACACATAACACTTACTAGCTGTGTGACCCTGGGCAAGTCACTTAACCCCATGGCCTAGCCAAAACAAAACAAAAACAGCTTTTGAAATGAGGATTTACTTCCATTTATGCCAAGAGGATCATTTTTTTTTTCAATTTCTCCATAGTATTGGCAGCTTAACTAAGAGATGTATTATAGCTTGAGAATAAGAACAATTCTTTGAGGTGGGCAGAATCACAGTTTTTTACTTTTATGCTTTAAGGTGTTTGGGAAAACTAAAAGTCATATGCAACCAGCTCTGGGCTACCCCTCTTCAGTATTCCAGCCATACCTGTTTCACCTTTGGAATCACCATTCTGTCTCTATCTCTGCTTCATACCTTGCAGATGTCCCACTCTGCTGTAAATGCTCTTTGTAGGGCCATCAAACTCCAATGTGAGCTGTACTCCTCTCGGCAGATAGCCATCTGTCTTGACCCCTACTGTGGACTTGGCTTTGCACTCTGGTGCCTCTGCAGGTAAGGGGTTCAGACTGAGAAACTGTCAGAAGTGAAATGGTAGATTGGGTTATTACCTTCATACCGTTAATTAGGCATTTTAATTTACTGTGATTTTAATCATGTTTTTAAGTTCCTGATATTTAATTTGCTAAATGCATCATAGATATTGATTTGATCTTTATCCCAACTTTTTCCATTGAATTGTTTTCATACTAATTAAGATTGTAAAGGGGAAATAATTACCCTCTTCCTCTCTTACCCAATAATCCCCTTCTTAAAATTAGTGCCAAGTTAGAGGATGACACTAATAAATTAGGACATGACCAGAAGATCAGAATGGGCCCCCCTCAAACATGTTCCTGGCACCTGGGAAGGTGGTCAGATGAAGTGATAGTGGGTGGTAGAAAAAGATCCTCCCTTTTCTTGTCAGAGAGCTGCCTATGTTACGGATAAATGCCATCTCCTTGCAGGTACACACTTCTGGGAATATTGGTTCTTGAATGACTGCAGCCTTGGGCCCAGTTCTTTTACATAGGATTCTGCCATAATCTCAGACATTTCTTCTCAATCCTCTCTCTGTTGCAGTGTATATTCAGGTCACCAGTCTGTTTTAATTCCTCCCATGGAGCTAGAAAACAACCTTTTCCTTTGGCTTTCTACTGTAAACCAATACAAAATAAGGGACACTTTCTGTTCCTATTCAGTAATGGAGCTGTGCACCAAAGGGCTTGGAAATCAAGTGGAAGTCTTAAAAGTAAGTGATTTTGCAATCTGACATTAGAATTGGTATAAAAAGTGACTAAGGAGATGGTCCTATAAGAATTTAAAGAAACATTGCGTTTTTAAAGGGCGGGAGGAGAAGTTGTCATTCATCCCATTTTAATTACATGGATGGCCCTGAAAAATCAACTGGCCTCAAAGCACTGGCATGTCCCCATTTTTCTGGCAAGTCCATTAAGCAGATTCTTAGTGAGCCCTGAGGCAGCTATTTCTCAGCTCCCTGCTTTGTGAGGAATAGTAATGACCATTGGGAGAATCAGTGGAAAACTGGGTAGAAATGACACCATACATAGAAAAGAGAACCATGACTTCAAATGAGATTTGAGATCTTAGATGCAAGAAGCCAAGACAACACCTTCACTATTTCAGTAGGTTGGTTCTTGTGTTTTCAAACAATGTGTCTAATTGATGGAAGAATCATCATGAAGTGACAGAAGATTATCAGAAATGCATTTTAAAAGGGGGGGAAAATATGAAATGTCAACTTTCCGACATTTATGTTACCATGATTTTCTTCCTTGTCACCAAGACAGTATTGTCTTTAAGAACAGGAATAGAAGACTAGAAAACTGTACTCAAAGATTCTACATTTGTTTGTTTTTTTAAAGAAACTCATTTGCCCTTTGTGAAAGAGGAACAGAAAGGGAAAACAAGATACTTAACGAAACAAGAAACTGAAGATTTGAAGCTTAAAATGAAGAAAAATATACAATCATTATATCAGCTAGGGGCAGTGCCTCTAACTAGTATTCCTTGGGTATTTTCTGTTCCCAAAGCTCTTGCCTTTCCTCTGAATGTTTGTGGTGAGACATTGGAGTCTTTTAGCTTTGTATCTGGCTAGAAAGAAAGGCATAGCTGATTATTCATTTGCTGTGTGTTCATATGTGTTATTGATCAAACCTTTTTACAGGCAAGAGGCATAAATCTGTCCTGTGTCCGGACCTGTGTGGTTGTTGCTGAGGAGCGGCCTCGTGTCAGCCTCCAGCATTCCTTCTCCAAGCTTTTCAAAGATATTGGCCTCTCTCCACGGGCCGTCAGTACAACATTTGGATCAAGAGTCAACGTGGCAATCTGTTTACAGGTGACCTTCTAGAAAGTTTTTTCACTTATAGTTCTGCTTCGTTTTAGAGCTAGTAAAGGAGTTAGTGCTCCTTACTTGTTTAAGAGCATATTTTGGACCTTCTTGGGCCTTACTTCCTTCTGATCTCCTTTTTCTATGTCCTCAACTCTGTGCCATCAGGAGGATTTTTTTAAAAAGGGCACCAGCCTTTCTCCAGATGTATGCTAACTAACTTTGTCCCTTTACTTCTAAACCTGGGATTGGAACAGAAGGGAAATAGCTGGAATTGAGGCTGCTTTCAAACAGTTTCCTAGAATAAAGAGTGAGTCAGAGAATTAAAGAGGATACTAATTTACTTAGTCTTTGAATTAGTTTTATAGCTGTTTCCCAGCTCTTCTTACGCATTTATGCCAGAATCCTCAAAAGGTGAGGTTATGTTCTTTGGATTTGTAACACTGAAGCATGGTTAGTGATTCAGTATGATTTCCACTGACATCTTCATAGGTCTCCTTTTTTCATCATCCTGGGGCCATGTTGGCTAGTATAGTAGACACCCTACCTCCTGACTCCCAGCAACTCTGAGCCCAAGGCAGGAAGATACTTAACTTACTTCCTAGTAAACCCTGAAAATTGCTGTAGCACATAGAAATAAAAGAAGAGGCAGAATTCAGATCTCACCTCATTGCAATAAGACCAACTTGCTTATACAGCTTTATAGCATTGAGATAATGAGCACTAAATTGAAGTGTGGATCTTGATTTCTACTTATAAGCCTTTACCAAGTTGCAGAGAAGTAGGAAGATAGTTTTCAAAGTGAGGTTTATGTTCTTTATCTGCATGATTGAAATCTGTGTTGTTGTTTTTACTTTAAAATGGTGAAATAGAAAAAATAGAAAATGATTTCTTTTTTCTGAATAAATAATATATTGGAATTTTTTCTTTTCTTTAGGGAACCTCAGGACCTGATCCAACTACTGTGTATGTAGATCTGAAATCCTTGAGACATGACAGGTAAAGTAGTTTCAGTTTTATACTATAAAGGCCTCCCTTTTAGAGTTGGCAGGTACTGGTTAAATGCACATTGAGAGAGCCAACTTTTTTCCCCTATAGAAGGAAAAAAGAATTTGCATACCTTAATTTTTATTAGCACCTGATGGATTTACGTATGGTAACAGAAAATTTTTTATACAGTATTGATGAGCTGTATTTCTGAATCTGAGTAATAGTCACAAGATTTAAAGCTGGAAGAGACATTAAAGGCCATGTAGCCAGAGCTCTGCATTTTACACATGAGGAGTCTTAGGCCTCAAGAGGTGAAATACCAAGCCCAGAGTCACACAGGTGATGACTGGCAGCACCAGAATCAGTTCCCACTTTGTGCATTAGGTTCTACTGGGCACTAAGCAGGAATTAATCTAAAACAAGAAATGGTTCCTGTGGTTTGAGAGTTTTCATTCCAAATATAGAAGACATATGAACAAATGGAGGAAGCACCAGACTAGGGAGTACAAAGACCTGGTTTGGAGTCCTGGCTCTACCACTTAACAGCTGTGTGGCCATAGGCAAGTCATGGAACCTCATTGATTGGTTCTTCATCTCAAAAATGGGAACGTTGATGTCCTCTGAGGTCTCTTCCTGCTCTCAAAGTCTGTGATTCTATAAAAGTGCAAACTTGTCTGTGATTCTAAGATAAATCACTTCATCACACATTTATTAGGTTCTTACTGTGTGTAGAGCACTGGGCTTGGTCTTGGAGATGACACAGACCCTCTCCTTAGAGGCTGGTGGAGGAGGGACACATCTATAGATAACTAGAAGGGAAAATGAGTAAGTACTGTGAGAAAGGTCCAGGCAAAGGGTAATGAGAAATTGAGGGATGGTCTGAGGAGGGACGTCAGTCCTCAGTGCTCTGGGAAAGATGAGGAGGAAGAAAGGATCTGAGGAGTGTGAGGGATGAAGGGCAGCATAAACGCAGGCTGTAGACACCACAGAGGGGGACAGTAAGGATGTAGAGTAGTACAGCTCAGCTGAAGAATGTGTTGTGTGAGATAAAGTTCTTTAGCTAGTATGGAGCCAGGGTGTGGAGGTCCTTGGATGCTAGGATTCAGAGTTGATACTTGATCAAGAGGCACTGAAAGTTTCTGAGGAGAGGAATGATATCATATTAGCCCTATGGTTAGGAAGATTTACTCTGACAGTAGCTGGAAGATTGCTTGGAGACTGGCAGTGAAGATACCCATTAGCAGGCTATCCCAGTTAGTCCCAGAAGAGATAAGAGCCTGAATCAGTGTGGCTACTCTGGCAGTAGAGAAGATAGCAAGATGCAAGAAGTTCGTGAGGTACAAATGAGAGGCCTTGACACCTAACTAAATAGCTGGGGTGAAGGAGAGCTTATAAGGGAAAGGAAGAGGAAGGGAATAAGTATTTATATAGCACCTACTATGTGCTAAGCATTATGATTCTTACAGCAACAACCCTGGGAGGTAGGGACTATGATTATCCCCATTTTATTGATGAGAAAACTGAAGCAGACAACAATTAAGTGACTTGTCCCAGATCACAGAGCTAGTAAGTATCTGAGCCTAGATTTGAACTCAGGTCTTCCCGACTCCAGGCCCAGAAACCTATGCACTGCACCACCTGGCTGCACATGGAATTAGTGTTGAAAAAACAGATGTAGAATAGGGGTTTGTTCTGAGCCTAAGGAATCGGGTATTCTCCTTTGGTTTTGAGGGAGAATTTAGTTGTATTTTCTTTTTTTCTTTTTTTAAGCAATTGGGGTTAAGTGACTTGCCCAGGGTGACACAGCTAGTAAGTGTCAAGTGTTTGGTCTGAGGCCACATTTGAACTCGGGTCCTCCTGACTTCAGGGCCGGTGCTCTACTGTGCCACCTAGCTGCCTCTAGTTGTATTTTCTTCTAAGTGCCCTGGGACCCCTTTCAGAAGTCCCACTAACTTTCTACGTGTTGATGAAATCTCCTTAGCTTATTGCTACAAAATGGTTAGCTACTCGTAGATTTCAGAGACTCTAGACTTTTTCCAGTATCTTTCCTAAAAAACTGGAGAATTTCTCTAACATTTGGTAGGCTTTGCTGAATAATGAAGGTCAGCTTCTTATTTCTTGTGTGGCATGTATGCTATTTTATAGGAAACCATAGGTCAAAGCCTAGAATAAATGTCAGTATTTAAAAGACGTCACATTATAAGCAAGTAAAAATTTTATTAAATGATACAAAGCTAAGGGGGAAAAAACCTAGAAGAATTGAGGTTATACCAACTACAGTCATGTGGGGAAAAATGAATGAAAAGAAAAAGTCAGAGACTCCTGATGGGATTTAGAAGGAGGAATGAAAAAAGTGTTATGATACCTTATACATTGAAATTAATCAAATGTAAATAATTATCAAGCAAGAAGAAAATTAATAAATAGGAAGAATTATCTGTAGCCTAGTCTTGCCCCCCAGTGGCAGCAGGTATCTTACTGATTAGGTGAAACAAGCAAGTAGTTCTGTAACCTGAAGATGTTTTGAATTTATTTTTTCAAGGTACGTATAAAAGATATATGTGTGTACGCGTATATGTATGTCTACAGAAAGCGAGAGAAAACACCTTTCTGACAAGTGTGTTTTTTTCATAGGGTTCGTCTTGTGGAACGGGGAGCTCCCCAGAGTCTACTTCTTTCAGAATCTGGAAAGGTAATTTGGGAGTTACCTCGTTATCTTAGATACTTTTACCTAAACAATATGGTGTGGCTTGAAGAATTTCTAGGAACTAATGACAGCCAGATAGTAATTAATTGATATTCAAAAACCAATCCCCAAGGCTTACCTTTACCAGGAGCTTGAAAGTCTTCCACAAGCTGCTTTTTGCTAGAGTTGCCAACAAGAAGCAGTACCAGCCAGTTTGGATTTGTTTTCTCCCTAACCTTATCCTACTCTCTTGTAAAAAAGCTAATGAAGAGAAAATGGTTGCATAAACAAGAAAGAACTCTTGAATCAAGTAAGCTTTTGATTTTTTCTCCCATGATCACCCAGTCACAGAATTGAGAGTTGGCATAGACCTCAACAACCATCTAATCCAGACCATGTCTGAAGAGAATCCCCACTGTCACATAACTTGCAAGGGTTTACCAGGTTTCAACTTGAAGACCCTCCAGCATAAGACAAACTGGCCCCTCTTGAGGCAGCACATTCCAATTTTGGAAGCTTTTCCTTGTGTCCAGCCAACATGACCTCTTTGCAGAATATTCCACATCTTCTGCATCTTTTAGATACTTAAAAACAACTATCATAACATCCTCGGTTTTCTCTTCTCCAGGATAACCCATTCCCAGTTCTTTTTAGTTGATCTTCATATGACTTGGAAATGTTTTCCTGATAGTTTCAAAGAGTAGTGAGGGGAATGAATAAATGATGTAAGAATCTCTCACGAAATAGGGTTATTGATAGGTTAGCATTAATCTGTGTGTCAAGTAGTAATACTTAGTATTTGTTTAGTGCTTACTTGAACCTTGGCACAGTTCTCCAGTTGTTCTTCTGTTCATTCAGTAGTCAATAAACATTTATTAAGTGCCTGCTATGTGCCAGGCACTGTGCTAAGCACATAGTTCAGTATATCCATGGAAGATCCAAGCAGAGAAGTAAAGATTACATAATTATTAAATTGGCAGATGGTAATAAATTAGGTAGATTGCTAATAATCTAGACCCCAAGTCAGGAACCTGCCTCTTGAAGGCCCTTTGTGACTCTAAGCACAACCTTTTTGCATACTTGTCTAAAAAGGCTACTAGAAATGTAATTTTGAAAGCAATATACATGAAGGCTGATGGCAGGGCTTCTTAGAGTGATTGGCTTCCTAATGAATAAAATTTCCTGAACTTTGCTCTAAAAGATAAGATCGGGATAGGCACTGCATGTGTGATTTCATTGACACAGGGAACTCTCTCAAATGAGAAGACGCCTTCTATTGATGCAGTTCATTGCCTTCTTTGCAGTTTTATAGTTGAAGGGTGACTCCAAGCACCAGGCAGTTGAATGGCTTGCTTGTGGCCATACAGACGTTACCTGTTAGCGGCAGGACTTGACACCGGGTGTTCCTGGCTTTGGGAACTACTCTCTAGCCATCCCACCATGCCTCCTGTTCTAAAAGATAAGAATTAATTTTAAATGACTTTTAACCAACTAGAAAATAGTCCTACCAAAGCAAAATGAAATTCAGGAGGAGTAAGTATGGAGGGATGTACCTGAAGGCAACAAAGCAATAGTTAGAAAGCAGGGTGAACATTGGATATTCAAAGGAAGTAGACCTGAGTTCATAGATGATACAGATTTAATACACGTCAGTAATGTCGCACTGCTGTGGAGCAGAATGACCATCATGATTTGTGGATTCTTCTATATTCCTCTGCTTTAATTTGCTTGCATAATTATATCCAGTTCTAGTTGTAAAAGGATGTAGAGAAATTGAAAAAGCAAAGGGATCATATGATAGGTTTCATTAATTTTTTCTTGTCAAAAACATAATAATCAAGTTGGGTAAGAAAAGATAAAAGACAAATTATATACCAAAGTAGTATATACTTAAGTGCTAAATTAGTATTAAAGACAGTAAGCGCTAGGTAAATTTAATGTAGAGAGAGTGAGCCTATGGGCTAGAACAGTCAGATCAGGGGAGGCCTCTTAAAAGAGTTTGGTCTTGAAGGAAAGGAGGACTAAGGATCGGATTAGGGAATAAGGTAAGCAAAGTCATGAACTCAGTAATACATATGGCATATTCAGAAGATGACAAATCACCCACTTTTGCTAGATCAGTAAGTTTATGTAGAATAGGTGTTCTTAATCATTTTTGTGTCCTAATCCATTTTTGTAAGTCTGGTGAAACCTATGGACTCCTCAGAATAATGTCTCTAAATGCTTAAAATAAAATTACATAGGATTACGAAGGGAACCAATTATATTGAAATACTATTATAAAAAAAATTTTTTTTTTAATTCACGAACCCTGAGTTAAGAATTCCTGGTTTGGAGGAATCAGAGAAGATAAGGTTGGTTACAAGCTTGAAACTAGATTAAAGATCAATATGAAGAAAAAGAATATATCCTTTATTCAACTTATTGATTGGTAATAAATGCTTATTGGTAATTGATTGTATAGGCAATGAGAATTTGGCAAATTCATCTGGCAATGATGTTTTAGTAAAAAATGAGTTGGCTAAGAAACTAAGGCCTGAACTTTAAAAAAAAATTTTTTTAATCTGAATTAAAATATAGCAGATGTATGAGGTGGACCAGGGCATCCCAAGCAAGAGGAAAGAAAATATAAACAAAGACATGGATGATGAGCAATAAAAATTACCTGACTGAAGCAGCAGGCCTAAGAATAGAAAAAGTTGTGTCTTGTGTTTAGATGTAGTGGGATTGATTCTGGAGGACCTGGACAGCCAGATTGAGGAGCTTGGATTGATTCAGTAAGGAACAGGAGGTACAAGTTGTTGAGTAGGACTGGCATGATGAAAGAGATATGTTAGAAAGGTTGGTCTGGCTGCATTGGGAAAGATGAAATGGCAGAGGAGAGGATTAGGGACCCAAAAACAACCGAATGATATTTCTGAGTCTCACCTAGATACTGAAAAAGAAAGGGAGACGGAATTTGGTGACTGAACATGAAAGGTGAAGGCATTTTTTTTCACCCTGTACAGACCATAATGGCTGTTGTCCACTGAACCTCTCCCATCCATAGTCACTCTCTCTCTTTTCTCCTAGAGTTAAGTGCCTGGCTCACTATCTATTCCTCTTCTTCCCCAGTGCCTGCCCTTCTACTGCCCCTATGCATTCACATCGATGCTCCTTGAAACACTCTAACCATTTGCTTCCTCAGATCTCATGAACTACTCCTCCACTCTACCTCTGCCATGTAACCCTAGATCTGAACATTATCCACAAGTCTTTCATCTCCACAATCATGAAACTGTGACACTTCTTTATCTGAAATAACCTTTTATCATTCCATCTCTCCCATATGTCTGACTCCTGCTAAATTTAAATTTAAATTCTTTGCTTTGTGACTTCTAATTCCCCTCAACCCCTCAGTACTTTTCTCAGACTATTACTCCTGCTTTGACTACAATTTCCTCCCTTTTCAGCCTTGACCCTTTAGTTGGCTAGTTCAGCTCCACACTGTCCTTTGTTCTTGAATCCCTTGCCAAACTCTTACACTAGATTATGTTCACCATTCTAGTTATCTGCTATTATTCATGTGCTGTTGAACAGAATTAAAGGAGTCACTAAACCAGATTAAACTGGGCACTTATTGCAGGAAGGCAGTCCATTCGTTCCAGCCTAAATGGTTCCCTACTTAATTCCATACAGTGGCTATTCCAAGACTTTTTTTTCAATGATCCACCATGATTCCCTCTTCTCACCTTTTTTCTATTTTCTTTTTTCTCTCAAAACTCCTCAGTGTTATTCCTCGTTCTCCTTTCCTCTACTGTAGACTCTTCTTAAGAGAGACAACCACTCTTCATGTGCCCACAATTTCATCCTTTCCTGTATTCTCCAGGAGATTATCCACACATTCATAACCACCATCTCTCTAATTTCCAGTCACTCCCTATGTACTAATTCTTGTTGCCTTTGAATATACCCAAGTCTTCCCCATCCTTTAAAAAAAATCAAAACTTTACTAGATCATGCCCTTTATCAGCTAAACTCCTAGATAAAGCTGTCTGCTCCGTTTTGTCTGTTCACTTACTTTTCAACCCTTTGCGTTCTAGCTTCTGAACTAAATTTAAACTGCTGTCTACAAAGTTAGCAATAATCTTTTCATTGCCAAATCTAATGGTCTCTTTTTCAGTCTTTATTCTTCTTGATTTCTCTATAGTGTTTGACACACTTTTTAGCACCATCTCCTCTTAGCTGTTCTCTCTTCTCTGGGATTCTTATGCCATTACTCCTTCCTGGTTCTCCTACCTTTCTAATCACCCATTCTGAGCTTTCTCTTCATCCATCAACTATACCCCCAAGTTCTTCCCTGAAACCACTTTTCTTCTCCCTTTCATTCTCTCTTTCTTGGTGACCTCATCAACTGCTGTGGATTTATCACATCAATACAGATCACTTGCAGATCTATGTTTTTCACCCTAATTTCTTGACTGAGCCTCCGTTCCATATCACCAGTGGCCTGTTAGACAATTTGGATATTTTCCCAAGTTTTTACCTTCCAATTCTCCATTTTTTCTTGTGTGAATGAACCTTTGGAGGACAAAACTCTGAAGCAAATTTTGTCCTGTATACTGTGGTCTCTTATGTGCAAATGAGTCAGCCACTCACTCAGGGCACTGAACCAGATGTAGCCACCTTCTCAGAACACTGAAACAAAATTATGCTTCAAACAAATGAAGTGTCAGAGTTTACATATACACAGATAGATACACATACACACACACACACACACACACACACACACGTAAGCAAATAGAATGTAAACTCCTTGAGAGCAGGTTGTCTTTGAACCCCTACACCCTGGCACGTTGTTGTTGTCCATTAATTTCAGTCGTGTCTGACCCCATTTGGGATTTTCTTGGCAAGGATAGTGGTTTGCCCTTTGCTTCATCAACTCATTTTACAGATGAGGCAACTGAGACATACAGGGTTAAGTGACTTGCCCAGGATCACATAGCTAGTGTCTGAGGCAGATTTGAGCTCAGGAAGATAGTCTTCCTGACTCTAGGCCTAGCACTCTGTGGCACCACTTAGCTGCCCATAGCTGTCACATAATAAGTGTTTTAATAAATGTTTGCTGATTGATTAAAGATTAGTGTTAATGTTAACACAAATGGGAAAGTTTAGAAAGAGAACCACTTTGTAGAATGGAAATAGGATTTTGTTATAGGCTATATCAAGTGCATTGTGTAGCAGAAGGAAGGGAAAATAGAGTATTATATCTAGAATTCAGACATTTCCTTATAGAGTCATTTATTAAATACCTGCTCTCTACAAAGTTCCATGCTAGGCACTGGGGATAAAAAGATAGACCCTGCTCCCAAGAAATTTGTAATGTAATGGGAGGAAAAGATGTGTAAAAAGCACTATAATGCAGAAGAATATGAGATAAATGCAAAGATATACAAAGTACTATGAGAAATTTAAGATGGACAGGATAATTTTTCACCAGGGAACAGTCTTTGGAAAGGGTACCACCTGATTTGGATCTTAGGGAAAAAAAAGAAGCCCTCAAAGAAAATGTCCATCCTGAATGTTGTAACCAGACAATTAGAATAGATAATGTGTTAAGTGGAGAAAAAGTTAAAAAGCAAGGGGGACTGGATCCCTTCAATTATATAAGCCACTGAAGCATGTGATATTGACTACTGGCTTTCTACTTCCAGCCCTTTAGGTCACTTAAGATAAAGTGTTTCCTGTCATAAAAATAACATGAGAGTGATCTCTGCAGGCAGGTTGATATTTATCAGTTCTGTGAGTGAATAGTATTACCCTCTGAAGTACAGAAATGGACTGCACTTTTCATAGAAAATTTGTTGTTGTGCAGTCTTTTCAGTCACGTCCAACTCCGAGTGACCCCATTTAGGGTTTTTTTTGGCAAAAATACTTGAGTGGTTTGCCATTTCTTTCATCAACTCATTTTACAGAGGAAAAAAAGGGTTAAGTGACCTGCCCAGGGTCACACAGCTAGTAAGTGTCTGAGGCCAGGTTTGAACTCAGGAAGATGAGCACTCTATCCACTGTACCACCAGCTGCCTCATTTCATAAAAAATGAACACACCCACCGAATAAAACATCTAACTAAAATACTACCTGAGAATGGTAGAGGTTATTACAGTAAACTTAAAAACACTATTTTATTTTGTTGCAGTAGAATTTAGTGGCATCTTATATTACTTGAAACAAATGGACTATCTGGGGTTATTATACTGGAATTTCATTATAATGGTATTTGTTCTACCAAAGTCTAACCTATTATTTACCTGTTATACTTCACGGGTCCTAGTATAGTGTCTTATACATAGGAGGTATTCAATAAATGGATGATTGAATTTATTATGGGGATACCAATTAGGAGGGTATCATTCCCACAAGTTATTACACTTTTCTCCCAAAAAGTACTTTATACTGCTGCAGTCCAAGTCTTGGATGACTATATACTTCTCTACTCCTCCTAGCCTTCTAAACATTTCCCAAGATAAGGTGGAGACATGTTGGAAATAAACCTTTTGAGTCCTCAGGCAGTTGGCTGCCCTTTTGAAGACCTCTCTGATGGAGGATCATTCCCTTCTTCCCCTTTCCGAGGACAGCATAACTCTCCCTTTCACAAAGTTTCCCATAGTTACTCCTAGTTGAGGCAGTTTGGCTTGGTTCATTGATGGATGTTTATGCGTCACTACAGGGTACACACAGCTGCTGCTATGACATCTACACCATAGGGTCCTCTGTAGTGAATGAATGCCCTTTCATTGATCCAGTTCCTTGAGTAATCTGACAGTGAATCCAATCTTTGTACACTGTTTCTTAGATCCTGCCTGGGGTCAAAGTGGTCATTGTTAATCCAGAAACCAAAGGGCCTGTTGGAGATTCTCATCTTGGAGAGGTATGTATAAATTCATTCTTTGATTTGGAAAGAGAGCCAATACATCAGATTCTTTTGCAGTCATACCCTAGGCCCCACTGAAAATATAGTCTGAATTAGTCTCCAATTCGTAGTAAGGTAGTAAAAGCCTTTCCCTATGAACAGGTAGCTAACTATTCTAAGGGCACTTTGGTGGATACTGACTTGTTAAGGACCACAGCACTGAGTGTTATTGAATAATGCACAGTGGTGAAAACAACAGCATTTCCACCACTTGCTCTTTTTCCAAAGGAGCATAGCCCCAGTGATGTAGCCTAGTGGGAAGATGCCAGGCTGGGCGTGGATAAGCTTAAGTTTGCGTCTTGGTTTTGCTGCTCACTGATTGCAAGTTCTAAACATAAAAAACAGTCAGTTGATGGGACCTGGGGGTTTTAGAATCATCTAATTGATTAACAGGATTGCGCATGCTTTGTGGAAAACTGACTTATGTACCTCTCTGCATTGTAGGTTTGGGTGAACAGCCCTCACACAGCCAGTGGCTACTACACTATCTATGATAATGAAACTCTCCAGGCTGACCATTTCAACACTCGGCTTAGTTTTGGGGATGCTGCTCAGACACTCTGGGCTAGGACGGGATACCTTGGGTTTGTTCGCCGAACTGAGCTTACAGCTGCCACTGGAGGTATGCCTCTGATAAACTCCTCTTTTTCTTTGCTTACGTTTCAGTTGTGGAATTAATTTTTTACCTTCCCCTTCTCCTGGGATGCTGTTTTGTTTCAGGAAATTCAGTGATTTCTTTCAGTAGTTGTTGAATATGTAAATAAAGTGATAATCATTTACAAGTAGCATCGTGCCCCTTAAGAGAGTGTCCAGAAAGCAAGAGGTCATAGCTTCAGTCATGGTCCCATATGAGAAAATGGTAATATTTTTGTGGAGGGGGGCAAGGATACTTGTGTCAGGGCCCAGACACAGCTAAGGGTACCCAGTCCCTAAAAGACTTAATTCCCAAACTCCAAGCCAGCTCCTTGAGATTTGGGGGATGCCTGTGGCCATCATGAGGTTGAAATTGTTACTAAGAATTTAAATCCCTTGCAGTTGAAACTCATTTCTGTAGTGTGGCCAGCCAGTCAATCAGCAGGAAAGGCTTAAGCATCTGCTTAAGTGTGCAAACTTAGATTTGCATTGTAACAGGGTCTGGGAATGTCAGTGTCATATAGTCCCTGCCCACAAGAAACCTATTGTTCTTGGGTTCTATCTTGTCAGTATTCCACACACTAGCAAGGGAATTTGTCATTCTTGACAGTTAAGTGGTGATTGCTTCGGGCTATGAGTTGGACCAGAGGGCCAGTGAGGTCCCTTCTGACTCTCTAATTCAGTAATTCTGAGTATAGATGGCAGTTTTATTACACAGTGTGGCATGATGTTGGCATCTTATTGCCATCTACCTTGGCTACACTCTAGTCATCTTTTACCTTTTGACTGCTGTGGACTAAATGCTGGCCCTTCTGTGGTTGCCATTTAAAAAAGTCAACTTTCAGAACCGTAATGTTGACCACATTACTTATATTCCCTAAACCCTCATGTAGCTCCATTGCCTACCAGGAAAGAGCTATGGGATCTTAGATTTAGAGCTCGAAGAGACCTTAGAGATCATTTAACCTAAATAGATAGCCAAAAAGGTTAAGATCACACAGGAAGTAAATAGCAGAGGCCAAATTTGAACCCAAGTCCTCACACTGCAAATCTTGCACTCGTTGGGCTAAACCACACTGCCTCTAATTGATCCTGAACCTCAGAAGCATTTCTTAGGATGATCCATCCTGCTTGACTCTTTTAATCATCTGCCCTGGTCCTTTTGCACCCCCTATTCCTGTTGAGCTAACTCTTTTTTCTTTTATTCCTGTCTCTTGCTTGTAGCATCTGTTTTTAGAACCACCTGTCCATCTGTCCAGGAGACTCCATTATTTGACTCCTTCCAGCCCACTTCACTAAAACTACATAATTTCAGAGATCAGGTCCAAATTTCCATCTTTCCTGTTGCCGTCCTGAAAAAGAATCATCTCTAAAGCATTTCCAAAAACTCAGCCTCTGCTTGGAGGGCTCCAATAAGAGAGAACCTACTTCTTTCACCCACTGCTTCCAGTTTTACCATATGGAGCCAAGCCGAGTAAATGTAATCATTCTTCCACATGTTAGTCCTTTTGAGACTTAAAGACAGCCTCTCTCCCCCACCCCACCCCCTCCTTCCAGGTATCCTCTTCTCTAAGCTAGACATCCTCCTGTACTTCAACCAGTCCTACAAAGGCGTGTTCTCCAGGCTCTTCTCCGTCCTGGTTGTCATTCACTACTAAACATTGTCCATCTTAACAATGCCCTTCCTGAAATATAGCACCCAGAACTACTGAACAGAATTCTCCAGACATAATCTGGTCCAAAAAGAATATAACAGGACTATCACTTCATCATTTTGGGATTTTTTTCTCAGCTTAACCTAAGATCTCAGCTTTCTGAGTTGCATTATCATACTGTTTATGCACTGAGCATATAGTCCACTAAAATTCTCATATCCTTTTCAGATAAACTCGGCTAGTCACGATTTATCCCACTTTGTATGAACAGAGTTTGATGCTTGAATCTAAGTTTAAGACTTTACATTTATTCCTATTGAATTTTGCTTCGATTCAGTTCAGTGTTCTAGCTTATCAAAATCTTTTTTGGATCCTGACTTTTATCCCGTATGTTAGCTATTCCTCCTAGCATTTACTCACATGCAGATCTTACAGACATACCATTTAGGCCTTTATCCAAATCTTTGGTAGAAATCATAGTTGGAATAATAGATCTAGAGTTGAACGAGACCTCAGAGTGCTTCATTTTACCAATGTAGAAACTGAGACTCAGAGATATAAAGTGACTTACCCAAGGTCACATCAGTAGTTAATATCAAATATGAGAGTCCTCTGACTATAAAATCAGTACTCTTTCTACCATACCATGCTGCCTCCTTTTAAATAGCACAGAACCAAGCACAGATGCCTTGGACACTTTCCTGGGGACCTTCCAAGTCAACATTGAACTGTTGATTAATTATTTGGGATCTGGCTTTCTTTCCCCCCCCCCCCCAAAGAAACCTTCTCTTACAAGAAACCTAATGGAAAAATAGTTTCCTTATCCTATACATGGGTTGTATATTGGCATAGCTTTTTCTGTGTAGTATTTTTTTGGCAGTGTTGTTCAGACTAGAATTAAGGATCATTGTAGACAAGGACCTTATATGTAATCTTTTTCCTTCAGTCTAGGTGTCTTAAAGAAGCTTGGGTAAGCTAATAATGCATATCTTCTGTTTCTCATCTTTTAGAGCGTCATGATGCATTATATGTAGTAGGAGCCCTGGATGAAACTCTAGAGCTGAGAGGATTACGTTACCACCCAACTGATATAGAGACCTCAGTCTCACGGACACATAGGAGCATTGCTGAATGGTAAATTTTCCCAAGAGAATCATTGTTCTGAACTCCCCAGACCCCACTGCTACTTTGTTTCTGTCCTAGGTTTAACAAGTATTTTAATCCAGTTAATTAACACTCAGTAATTAAGTACTCACTGCTTATAAAACTCTCCAGGTGACAAGAAGAAAGAATAAACTCATAGTACCTACCTATCTTTAGAAAATGCTCAGATTTGGAAAAAAACAGAGCATACATATATGCTGTACAAATTCAGTTCAGTTGGACAAGGCAGGTATTTTTCTCCTCCTGAGCTTTCTTAACCCAGATTCATCCTTCATCTATCAACATGTCTGTCAAAGTGAGATTGCCTTAGGAATCTGCCCTGTAGCATTTTGGAACCCAAAAGCTTGCTTTAAGGGGGCCTCTAGTTTGAACTAAGACTGGGAAAGAGGAACTTGTGGTTCATAGTTAGCCATCAAATCTCTCCCACTCCTCAACCCTCCATCCACCACCATCCCCCTCCACCGAATCCTCCAGCTGCCAGAAAGGGAAACCCAACCGTAGAACACTACTCAATTTGTACTTAACCTGTAGTTCAAGGGGGAAAAGGAGGAACTTAGCCTTTATAAAGAGTCTTATAATCCTGTGATTATTTTATTCCTACAGAGATATAGTTTTTACTTTAAATTATCTGCTACTAAATAATAAATTCTTATCAGTCTGTCTATTCACTAAATCTATAGGTAAGCCAGACTTAAGAGACTATCTTAGTTGTTAGGGCTAGCTTTTCCTAAAGAAATGAAAATAAATCAAAGTAATCAATACTAACTGATTTAAAGGGTATTCCTTTTCTGAATGTGGTCACAGGGAATCAGATTGACCCACTCCATCCAGGAACAATAGCAGAATTGATTTTTTTCATGGTTTTAGAACTAGAAGTGGAGGGAATTGATTAGTCTGTGAAGGTGGTAGGGAAGAGAAAGGAATGAAATGTGAGAGTGATTCAGGAATGATCGTCACCAGTCAGAGTGCAATCCAGGAAAGAAGTTTCTCTATGGCAGAAGTTCTTCATCAGGGATTCTTGAACTTTAAAAAATATATATTTTGATAACTGTTATTTTAATATACTGGTTTCTTTTGTAAGCCTTTGTGTCTTTATTTTATGGATACAAAAATATTATTCTGAGGAAGGGGTCCATAGGATTCATCAGAATGCCAAGGGAGACATTTTTTAAAAGGTTAAGTACCCTTGCTCTCATCTCTTATGGGGGCAGCAAGGCACTTGCTTGATAAGGCTATGGAGAAGGTAGCTGTAGAAAAAACAATACAGCATTGTGGTTGTGGCTGGCCTTTGTGATCTCCATTAAGAAAACATCATCCACATTTTCTGTCAGGCCAGGCAGTCTATAGAGTAGTTCCACAGTATCAGTTCTCTCTCTAATTATATCTTCACCCAGATTCTGGCTCTCATATTTCCATGCTTTTGTAATGGATTTCCAAATGAATATTTACTTTCTTGATCTAACCATGCTGCCCACTGCCCCTTCCATTAGGTCTTTTCTTTTAAATTAGGTAGGCCTTCTTCCCACTTCCATTTTTTAATCATGTGTCAATGTGCTATAGTAGATAAAGCTCTGGACTTAGCAATAGGAGACCTATGTTAAGTCTCAGCTCTGTCATTGATTACCAATATGACCTTGACCCACTTACTTAACGTTGGCCTTAGTTTCCGTAAATGTAAAACCAGGATAAAAATAGACTGTGTACTTCACAGTCTTATTTTGAGGATCCTATGAGAATGTATGTAAAGGGCTTTGTAATTCTGTATGTAAAATACTATATAATGTAAAAAATTGTGTCCCATTTCAATAAGTCTCATTGATACATGTGGGTTTTTATTTATTTCTTTTGTTAAAATTTAAAAATCACTGTTTATTGTCCATAATATGTGAATTTATTTATAGATTTCTGAGGTTACAACCTTTTTCCCTATTATTTTCCCCTAAGAATTACTGGATACATCTTCCGCAGTTGTTGCTTTTTCTATATCATTCCTGTTGCTCTCTATCGTATGTGAGTTTATAGTTTTTTGTGGACATTTTTCTCCCCCACAACCTCTAAATTTTATTTTCAAGCCCTTGTGATCAGATCATTAAGTCTTCTGCCAACGATATTTTCCCCAGCCCTTGAAAGTTGCACACTTTCTCAGGGAACTGAGACTTTGGTAGTGTAAAACCTGGTTTAGAAAACCAAATTCCATTTCTCTGGTCCATTTATGCAGCCAGCAAATTTTTCACTTCTCACCTTTTCCTTTCTCTTTCAAAATCATAACAATTAACTAGGAAAAAAACAACATAAAACCACTACCTGCGTGTTCCCAAGTCCTTTATTTTCTTATGTAGGATTTTGTAGTTCTTAGAAATACAGTCCATGCTTCTGTTGGTTATATTATTCACTCCCATGTTAATCATCAATAGATAGGGCTGGGTTAGTAAATCAAAAAAGCGTTTATTATGTACCTACTATGTGACAACCAACAGCCACTGTGTTAGGAAAAAGACAGGGGACATTATTATTATATTCAGAGTGTGTGTGTGTGTGTGTGTGTGTGTGTACTACTAATTACAAGGTATTTGAATTAAAGATAGAGAAAGGGAAAGCACCAACAGTTGAAGGGATCAGGAAGGACTTCAAGTAGACGTATTCGAGCTACATATGATTCTGGAAGGTTGAGGTGAAAAGGGAAGTTTATTCCAGACCTGGGTAATAACCATATGCAGGGAGAGGTGTGTGTGTGTGTGTGTGTGTGTGTCTGAGAGAGAGAGAGAGAGAGAGAGAAGATCAAGATAGTTGGACTCTAGTATGTGGGAAGAGAAATAATGTATGGAAGATTAATTGGGAGTGGGAAGATTTGGCTTTAAAAGTCAAACAGAGAAATTATATTTTATCCTATAGGCGATGGGGAATCACTGACTAGAATAAGAGTGACATGAACAGTTCTACATCTCAGGAAAATTATTTCTGCAGTAGTGTGGAAGAGGAATTGGAAAGGAGATCTAGAACAGAGCCTTGGGGTACACTTAATTGGGGTGTGATATGGATGATCATCCAGCTAAGAAGACTGAGAAGGAAATGTTCAAATTGGTAGGAGAAACAGGAGAAGGTAATATTACAAAAACAAAAGAAAGAGACTGTCTAGGAGGAAAAGGCTGTCAGTGGTGTCAGATGCTAAAAAAGGACCATCAGATTTGGAATGATGAGAATCATTGGTAATTTTGGAAAAACAGTTTCAGTTTAGTGATCTGGCCAGAAACCAGATTGCAGAGTGTTCAGAAGTGAGTGAAAGGAGAGAGGATGGAGGCAGCAAGTGTAAACAGCTTCTTCTAAGAGTTTGGCCTTAGAGAAAGGGAAGAAAGTTACAGGATTATCGTTGAGGGGATGGTAAGGTCTAATCAAGGTTTTTAAGGATGGAAGAAAGTTTGAAAGCAGGAAGGGAGTAGTAGGTAGTGGTAGATTGACGATTAGAGAAGGATAATTGAGGAGGAAATCTTTTGGGAAGGATGGAATGGCATGAGATGATGGACACGTGATGAAAGGGTTGACTTTGACAGAGAAGAGCCACATCCATATAAGAAATTGCTACAATAAAGGAGATGGTTGGGTGGTGATTTCAAGGAGTTTTGAAATGAAGATGAATTTGAGAGAACTTAGTGAAGTGGCTTCAGTATTTTTAATAAATCAAGAAGCAAAGTCCTTAGTAGTTAAAGGTTGAAGGCACAGTGGAAGGTGGGGTGGTAGGCTTAAAGAGAAGACAGAATCTGGAGCAAAGGCTGTGTTGAGTGGAATAGGGACTTTGAGCAAGATATGCCTCCAGGACAGTTGCCTGACAGATCATTTAGATCCCATTTATTTTCCTCTAGCATATACGTTAAGGGGACTATAAGTAGATAGTACTTCAGGACTATGAAAATAAAAGGCCTGAGACTGTACTGCTGTTGCCATCCTAGAAAAATAAAGAATGAGAACAAGTGTTGTTTTTCAGTTGTCTGACTCTTAATGACTCCATTTGGGTTTTCTTGACAAAGATACTGGAATGGTTTGCCATTTCTTTTTCTAGCTCATTTTACAGATGAGGAACTGAGGCAAACAGGGTTAAGTGACTTGCCTAGGATCACACAACTAGTAAGTGTCTGAGGTTGGATTTGAACTCAGGTCCTCCTGACTATTGCTTGTGCTCCATCCACAGCACTACCTAGCTGCCCCCTCAGACCTTAACCACCAGCATTATAAAAGGGTGCCAGTGTTTATTGTTAAAAGAAAGGCTTGGTTGCAGATTCCCCATGGTCAGCAAATATAGGAGATTGCCTTCATTTGTAGATGACTGAAATTTCATTAGGTACATTCAACAAATGACAATGTTTAGGTTAGACACCAAGCGAAACAGTACAATTAAGGGTCCCTGTCTTTTTGGGATCCCTTGTTTCACTCCTCTCTTCAGACAATATTCACCAATATCAAGGAGAGCAGGAGAGTTGGCATGTGAACATGTTAATACAAAAGGCTTAGCAGAATAGCCTCACAGATCAGTTAGATCCTATTTATTTAGTCAACTCTAATTTTTGGAGCAAATCGTCTGTTCTCTCCTCAGCTAGATTGGAGCAATGAACAGAATAAGAATGAAACCAGACAAGAATTACATTTCCAGTTCCTTTGACCTTAGCACTATTTCTAACAATAATAAGAGCTGGCATCTATATCTATATCTATATATATACATATATATATATATATACACACATATATACACACACACGTGTATATATGTATATATGTATCACTTTAGGGTTGACTGGCCAGATTACATTCATCATCTCATTTGAGATTATAACTGTGTGAGGTAGGAACTGTTTTACAGATAAAGAAACTAAGGTTACCCAGAGTCATCAAGTTGGTATACTAGATACTCCAATGCCTCTGTTTATTCCTACTGCTTTAGTAGGTTATCTAGAGGTAATAGAAGAAAAAGGTGTTTTGAGATTCCAGTTAGCCAGTAACAAAGACTTTCATAACCTTACCTTGTAATCCTTTTACCTCCAACTCAAAGTGAAAATAGCTGCTATAAGCTTAAAAAGAGAGAATTTTTTTTCTTTTAAAAAAAAAAAGGTTTTAGGGGCAGCTAGGTGGTACAGTGGATAGAGCTCCGGCCTTAGACTCAGGAGGACCTGAGTTCAAATTCAGCTTCAGACACATAATACTTACTAGCTATGTGACTCTGGGCAAGTCACTTAACCCCAAGTGCCTCACCAAAACAAATAAATAAATAAAAGTTTTTTTAATTAGTCTGAGCTCATGAACACCAACAAACATACACATTTCAAAGAGCAGAAAAAGGGGATTGTATATAAAATTGCTGATCTCATTGTAGCTTGTTTTTCTAAAAATACATACTCAACAGCCCATTAATCCAAAGCTGTCTTGCCTATGTTGTCGTCTAAAACTCCTGATTTCTTAGACATTTCATTGACTCTTTTTTCTATCACTAAAGTCAATTTCAAATGTTTAACTGTTAATGCAGATCTGTAATGAAATTTTACATATTTCATCTCTGAAAATGTCTTTTCACACAGCTAGGTACTGCCAAATACTGCTAAAAGTCCTTGAGCATATGATTTTAATTAAGCATTTTCATCATATGGAAGGCATTTATAAAATTATACCAGATTCTTCTCTTGATATTTTTGCCTTTTAGCATGTCATTATATTGCAGATAATTCCAGTTAAAGGTTAGATGGAAGTTTCCACAGTTAAATGGATTTTGAAATATGGAAAGATATTTTACACTTGGGTCAAGATCCAAAAAAATGCTGCTGGAACTGTAATTTAAGTTCTGAAAATCTGTTTGTTGCAAATTTGTGCAAGAATATAGATCTCACTTCGTATTTTAACTTTTGACAGCATATTAAGTGTATAAAGTAGCTTGACGTTACTTATGATTCAAACAGGGTTTGTGTTCAGTCATTTTTCAGTCAAATCTGACTCTTCATGACCCCATTTGGGATTTTCTTGGCAAAGATACTGGAATGGTTTGCCATTTCCTTCATCAACTCATTTTACAGATGAGGAAACTGAGGCAAGCAGGGTTAAGTAACTTACCCAGAGTCACATAGGTAATAAATATCTGAGGCTGCATTTGAATTGAGGAAGATGAGCCTTCCCGACTCCAGGCCTGGCTCTCTATACACTTTGCCACATAGCTGCCCTTTCAAGAACTGTTAGTTGTCATCTAATTGACCACTGAAATAAAGTTTTGCATATAAGTGCTCTTTTGCCTTGTAATTTTAGGTTAAATTCATTAAGAAACATTATCAAGTCTGTAGCAAAAGCTAATTTCCAAAGCCATTCAATGGTAGTGGTTGAGGATGATTTTTTTTTTTCTTTCAAAAACAAAAAGTCAATCTCAGGCCTGAATTCAAAAAATCATAAAACTTTTTTCTCTCTTCTTGTTTTGACATGATGGGTATGCACTGGTAATAAAAACAAAATAAAATATCAGCACAGTACAGTATGATACAGCAAATTATGACAGCATCACTGTGATTTGTAGTGCACCAAGAAGCAACGTGAAGCTATGAGAGCTCTTTTAGTCTCTTTTTGCAAGTACTCAATTTAAGCCATTGTAACAGGAACACTGCCATTCACAATGTATAAACAAATGAGTGTGGCTGTGTTCCAATAAAATTTTATTTATGGACACTAAAATTTGAATTTTGTAGAATTTTCATATCACCAAGTATTATTATTTTGATTTTTTTTCAACCACTAAAAATGTAAAAACCCATTCTTAGCTCATGAACTATACAAAAAAATAGGCAGCAGGCCAAATTTGACCCATGGGCCATACTTTGCCAACCTCTGTTCTATTATATGTTCAGCTAGTCCCCAGTTGATAGTCACCCCCTTTGTTGTTTTTCTAGTTCTTTAATACAACAAAAAATGAGGCTGTGAATATTGTTGTACTCATGGGTTCTTTCCCACTTTCTTTGACTTCTTTGTAATATAGACCTACTAGTACTGTCACTTGGTCAGGGTATATACACAGTTTAGTGGTTTGGGGGATAGAGTTCCAAATTCTAAGCTAGAATATTGTGGGAGATAAAAATGGATTAGGGAACTCTGATAAAGAGGTGGTGGCTTTACTCACCAAAGTCACTGTGTGTTCTCTTGATCCCATCCCTGCCCTCCAGAGTATCCCCTCTTTTTAATCTTCAGGACCCACTGATCTAGTAACTCCTTTCCTTTGCCTTCAAACATATACTTTTTTCCCATCCTTTAAAAAACAAAAACCAATCTTTACTACATCTAACTATCCTTTCAAGCTATCATCCTTTTTTTCTCAGCCAAATTCCTAGAAGCTGTCTGCACTCATTGCCTCCACTTCATCTTCACTTCTCAACCCTTTGCAGCCTGGTTTTCAGCTTCATCACTCAACTAAAAATGTTCCCTCCAAAGTTACCAGTGGTTTCTTGCTAGATCTGAGGGTCATTTTTGAGTCCTTAGCTTTCTTGACTTCTCTATTGCATTTGACACTGTTGGCCACCCAGGGAAGGGGGTTTTATGACATTAATCTCTCTTATTCTTTTATATTATGTATATGTGTGTGTGTGTGTGTGTGTGTGTCTGTCTGTATGTATATACTGTCTCTTGGTGAACTTATCAGCTCCCATGGATTTAATTATCACTATGCTGATAGTCCCAGATCTATATATCTACCCATAGTCTCATTTCTGAATTTCATTTCCATATCATCAACCCTCTGTTGGACATTTCAAACTAAATGTTCCACAGGTATCTTGTGTTTTATATGTTCAAAACAGAAACCTCTTCCCAATTTCCCTATTTCTCTCAAAGATACCATATTCTTCCAGTCACCCATGTTCACAACCACAGTGTAATCTTCTCCTTATACTAGAACTCCACTCATGACCCGTCACCTAGTTCAAGGTTTCATTACCTCTTAATTTGACTTGTAATAGCCTTCTATTGGTCTTTTATTCTAACATCTTTCTCCTGTCTTCCAAAGAGCTGCTGAGTAATTTTCTACGTGCATAATTCTGACCGTGTTTCGCCTCTACTCAGTGAACTCTAGGGGCGCACTCTTACTTTATAGGTCAAATATACACCATTCTTTAGTCTCGCATGTTGGTGCTGGCCTACCTTTCTAGTTTTTTTTTTCCCTTTCTAGTCTTTTTCTCCTGCACCACAGTCCAAAAAGACTGGCCTTCTTACCTCACCTTAAACACAGCACTTCATCTCAGTGCTCTAGAACTGGTGTCCCCCATGCCTAGAACGCGCTCCTTCCTTCTTTCCACCTCTTGGAGTCCCTAGTATCCTTCATGTCTCAGCCAAAGCCCCACCTTCCACAAAGGTTTTCTCCTGATCTCACTCGATGCGTCTTTTCCTCAAAATTATTTTGTGTCTATTTTTCCTATGTATTATATATACCTATATATGTACAGGTTTTCTCTGCTAGCTGGATTTAAATTCCTTGAAGGCAAGGACAGTTTTATTGTTGTCTTTGTATTCGCAGCACCTAGCACATTGCCTAGCACATAGTAGATGCTTAATAAATGCTTGTTGCTTGAGCTGAGTGGATATATTGAACTACTTTCAGGCTCTTCTAAAATTTAGTCTTTATACAGAGAGCTTTGTTATTTGTTAGGAAATATTTTGACTACTAAAATATCACAGGTTCATACTCAAAAACATAAGTATAAACATGCGTCCTAGAAATTATCCCTGCCACTGCTTCCTTTAGATCCTAAATTTATTAACATGTTATCAATGCCTATGTTAATTCAATATCATTGAAATTTCAGTGCTGTGTTCACATGGACCAACTTGCTTGTGGTGGTTGTGGAACTGTGTGGCTGTGAGCAAGAGGCCCTGGATCTGGTCCCTTTGGTGACTAACGTGGTCTTGGAAGAACATTACCTCATTGTTGGAGTTGTAGTTGTGGTGGACCCGGGTGTCATCCCGATCAATTCCAGAGGAGAGAAGCAGCGGATGCACCTCCGGGACAGCTTTCTGGCAGATCAGTTAGATCCTATCTATGTGGCTTATAACATGTAATTGTGCATTATGGGCATGTGACCAGTTCCTCAGAACCATGAAAGCCAAAGGCCTGAGGCTGGGTCACTGTTGCCATCTTTTAAAAAAAAAAAAAAAGCTAAAAACAAGTACTAATACTTGGCTGTAAAATTATTTGAGATGGATACTTTATTTCCTTCATCTCATCCTATGGGATTCTTCAATCATGTGACAAACAGGAAAGGGAAATTCATTTGGTAGCAGATGAAGAAAAGAAAAGTTAATAGTTTACTCGGGGTGACCTTTAACATTGACAATGTAAGCAGCACGTTACTAAAGCCTTTGCTAAATGGTTGTTACATTTTTTCATCTGCTGTACATACTTGTATTTTTATCTAATGCTGTTTTAGAATTTTGCAAAGGGATTTATTAACATAACGGAAATAGTCCGAGTTCCACAGTTCTCCATCATATACTGTATTTTGCAAGTATACTGTAGCTAGTGCTTTGGAGCTTTGTTAACATAAGGTTATACAGAATACTTACAGTCATGAGCAAATTGGATGACTAGTTAAATCTGAGAATAATGTCATCATACATACACACACATGCACACGTCTAAAATTTAAAGGGTTTTGCCTATATTTTTAAATTGTAAATAATAGTATGCATAATTCAGCGCAAAAAAAAAAAATGGCTTGTATAACTACAGCCACCAAAGTAGAAACATTTAGGATTGTAATTTTAAGATTCTTAACATTTAATTGGTTAGATAACTAAGAAATGTTAAGTTGTATGCAGGTTTCCATTGCACACTGTACTGTGACTTTGCTGGCTGGCATGTTTTATAAGATCAAGCTGCCTGTGTTTGTATTTAAAGCCCATTTCCCTTTAGAGTGAACTTAATTTTTAAACATTAATCCTGTTTCTTCTGCAAGTTGACCAATGAAAGTCTCACTTTACAAAACAAACTACTCAAAGAACCAAGAAAAAAATCAAGATTAGCTTATCCTGGGGAGATAGCACTCCCTACTATCCCCAGTTTTGAAATTGTGCTTTTGAATTTGATTAATTGGGTGTCAAAACTTCCTAGTCAGTGAATTTCTTCTTCCCCAGCCCTATTGCTCCTTTGTAGTGAAACTTCTATTTACAATTTCTCCATACAGTTTCTCTTTTAAAACTGGAAAGTTCCTTCTGATTTTCCACTCCATGGGAGCTAATGGGGGGGGGGAGTTTTATCAGGTGGAAACTATGCATACGTGGTTGGGGGGGAGAAAGTTGAGAAGGGAGTGAGATAAGTAGCCAATGCATTGCAACAGAAATAAAAAGTTCAATGTTGGCCAACTCCTTTGAATGCTATCGTAGCCAGCCTTAGAAAAATACTCATAAGGGAACCCTGTTTTATGCAAAACACACTGTTTTGGAATAACTGTGGTGCCCAGGCCTAGCAGACTAAAAGAGCCAAATTTGCCTCTGGCTCAGTTTCCATTTTTGGTCTGATCCTTCATGTATTCGAACATAGTTGGATTCTATTATTTTTTTCTTACAGAAATATTTTTTAAAATTAAAAAAAAGAACCACCAAACCCTCAAAGTGAATAAGACTTTAGAATGGTTCTCTTGGATCCATCTAGTCTGTTGTGTAAATACTTAATTACTCTATTTTAATAATGCATATTATTTACCCCAGTGTAACATCATGTAAACTAAGTATGTTTTTAAACAATTTTTAAGACTTGTATTTACCCTGAAAATAAGGTTTATAATGCAGAGACAGACCCTTCTCTATGGCAGTGCTGTCAAGTGCTGCGTAAACAGTCCTATGACTTGAAGCCACTTTATTATTACCCTTTTCATTGTCCTCATTTCTTTTCTTCTCATTCTCCAACAAGGGCAGGCCCAAAAACATTTTCCAGTTGCAGATCTGTTTTTTAATATTTTAAGTAAATTAAATTTGTGATGCGAGAGGCTCTGGCATGTGTAGGAAAAGCATACCCATCAAGGCAAACACAAATCCTCTCTGCATACAGATAAATGGTTTAGTTTTCAGGTACAATAGCTTGCTAATGTTTGGTGTGGTTTAAAAGATATATATATATGTACATACATACGTACGTATGTGTGTATGTATGTATATATCAGTGATTCATTCTGGACAAAGCAGAGGGCCATAGCAACTATTTTAGAAGAACTACCATTCTCTGTAGTCTTCCCAATTCTAAAGAAAAAAAATATATAAAATGGCATAAATCATACCTGAAAAAGTTAAAAAGGAGACATGTAGACTCACTCTTTTGCAAAAGATATTCCATTTATGAGCAGAAGAGTACAGGCAACTTTGAGGGCTGATTATTCAGGTTGTGGGTTGAATAGATTTTGTATTTCTTCAGGTCTGTAGCCTCTCTCTAACAATCCTGCTCCCGCTTTTGTGGCCATTTCACTGCTTTTGATCAATGTCTGCATCATTCTGTGACTATCCCTTCTAGTCATAGAATTAGGAAATCACATAACTGGAAGGGACCTGGGAGGTCATCTGCCCCAACCTCATGCCCATTAGATGAACCCTCTGTACAACATCTGCATAGAGGGCTTATCCAACCTCTGCCTGAAACCTCCAGCGATGAGGAATTCACTACCTCATGAGGCAACCTGTTCCATTTTTGTACAGCTCTGATTTTTTAACAAGTCTTCCATAGATTGATCTGCCTCCCTGTAGCTTCCTGGGGCTTCCTTCCCTTAGGGTGGCTATACCCTTAGGGCATAGGGATCATAAGCCTTTGTTAAAAAAGGGTTCTTCAGGAGCCAAGCAGAATAAGTTAGATCTCTTACACATCCCTTCAGATACTTGAAGACAACTGTCGTTAGATTCAGTTCAACTCCTGTTTATGTTAATTTTAAGCACCTGCTATGTACAGACCACTTTGTGTCTCTCTAAATCTTCTCTTTTTCAGTCTGTGTCCCTAGTTCTTTCGACCATTTCTTAGATGATTGGATCTCAAGTCTTACCTTCCTTTGGATCCCTACTAAAAGTTGGTGTAACTGAGAGTTTTCAACAGCAAGACATACTCCTACTCTTGCAGTAAGGATAATATCCCATGATGTCACTTGACTTTGTGATGGGACTTGCTTATAAGCTTTTTTTATGTACAGACCCCCTTGGAAGTCTGATGAAGCCCATGAACCCTCTCTCAGAATCATGTTTTCACATACATAAAATAAAAATACGTAGGACTACAAAGGAAACTAATTATACTGAAATACAGTTATCAAAATACATTTTTCAAGTTCTTGGACCTCAGGTTAAAAACTCCTACTCTAAAAGCTATTATGGCAATTCATTTTCCTCTAGTGGTATTTGTGTGTATGCATACATACATGTATGTGTGCATACGATGGATGCAAAAATACATGCACATATATGTGTATGTGTGTATATATATATATATACACACATATATATATATACACACATACACACACATATATTTACTTTTTTAAAGTCACCTACTGCACATAGCCTTAGCAGGTCTCTAGGACACACTACCTGTGTTCCTATGCAAAAATTGTATGTGGAAATGGAGAAGAAAATTTGTATTTTCATTCACTAAATGAATGAGTTTTCATCTCAGTCCAAAAAGATCCATTCATCAAATTGAGACCCTTATTGTTAAAACTGCAAAATAAGGCAATAAAGGCAGTTTCTTTGGAATAGTGTCTATGTCCTTATGAGCGCTAAAGCTCTGGAGTTAGTGACCAGCATGGCGTGATTGGCATTATTTGATAATGCTTCTTGCCACACAGTGGGCTATTTTCTCCCCAGTACAAGTCCTTCCTTCCCTCAGATCCTTAGAAAATTGCTTTGCTTCTGGTTATCAGGGACCGTAGCCTTCCTACTAGTTACCACTTTAGGATAGCCCTTGGGAAAATTTGGCACAGTGCTTGGCTCAAACAAAGAAACCTAAGACCCTAGCGTTTGTGTTATGGTGTTTGCCCTAGGCATGGTGCTGGATCTCTTGGCCAAATAAACCAGTTTCCTTAGGAATCCAGGAATCTTTCATACTAAACCAAGGAGGAGTCATGCTAACCTCACCTTCTTGCTCTCAAGCTCCAGAATGATCTATGCCTTAGCATTGTTTTTGTTGTCTGCTGTAATGTACTGGTGGCAAGAGAAATTGGAGCATGAAGCTACAATACTCTTAAAACACGAGTCTTTTCCTTTATCCTTTTTGTGACCTTCCTGATTTAGTCTAATGTAGATGGGCCATGTTATTTGTCCAGAGGATGAGATTGTAAAGATATGAGAATAATTTTTTTAGTCCTAAATGCAGTTTTTGTTTACTTTCTGTCAAATATTTACCAGTGTCAAATTCAAACTATAATACTATGTAATTATGTATAAAGTTTTTTTTTATTTATTTGAAATTAGACTAGATATACATTTTTTAAATTTAACATCTGGCTGGACAGTGTTCTATTAATTCATTGAATGTGTTTCCTTTGTCTTGTGTTAATAAATATTGATGCCTGTTTGTGTACGTCATCACTTCATTGGGTGGGAGGGTTGTCTGGGTAGAGTCTGGTACATTTAGTCTCAAGTGGCAACAAAACCTCCCAGCCATTTCCTGAAAGTAACAAATAATGTGAGAAAGTATAATGATGGTAGTACCTTTTATTTGTTTAGCTACGATCTACAAAGAACCAAACAAATTTATTTGTGGTCCTTACAACATTCCTGGAAGGGAGATAGTACCAGTATTATTATCATCCCCATTTTACTATGGAAATTTATAGATTAGATTGCTGAAGTGATTTGACCAAGGTCACTGGTAACAACTAGGAAGTATTTTAAAAGTACTTATAAATTTTGAGTTCAAATTCTCTCCCACCCTCCAGTCCTCCCCCAACCTCTGAAAGGGCAAGCAATATGATATCAATTTCACATATCAATTATACATAAGTCATGCAAAACATTTTCATATTGTCCATGTTACCAAAGAAAAGCAAGAAAAAAGTGAGAAAATTATGCTTCAGTGATTGAACATGTTTTAATCTATATCAAATTGCTTATTGTCTCAGGGAAGGGGAGGTGAGGGAGAAAGAGAAAATTTGGAACTCAGTTTGTTTAAAATGAGTGTTAAATGTCTACA